TGGGTCTCCTACATTGCAGGCCAATTCTTCACTGTCTGAGCTACCAGGGAAGCCTGTGAGCTACAGGTTCTGGAGGTAGACCTGCCCATACCTACTAATGGATGAGATGGAGAGGGACAAGGGGAGGAAGAACCAACAAGATTCTCTTTAACTAGGTGTGGGAACAAGTGGGCCACTTACTGAACCTGCTAACACTCATATTAGTATTAATAATACTAATCGGGACTTCCCTGATAGCTCAGTTGGTAAAGAATCTGCCTGCAATGCAGGAGACCCTGGTTCGATTCCTTGGTCAGGAAGATCCGCTGGAGAAGGGATGGGCTACCCACTCCAGTATTCTTGGGCTTCCCTTGTAGTTTAGCTGGTAAAGACTCTACCTGCAATGTGGGAGACCTGGGTTTTATCCCTGGGTTGAGAAGATTTCCTAGAGAAAGGAAAGGCTACCCACTCCAATATTCTGGCCTGGAGAATTCCGTGGACTGTATAGTCCATGGGGTCACAAAGAGTCAGACAGGACTGAGTGACTTTCACTTTAATATAATTCTGAGCTGGCAAGACCTCACATCCCAGGGAAGCCACACAGTCCTGCAAGTAGATGTGAAGGAAACCAGACGTTCAGAGGGAAGGAGACCCTTCCTAATAGCAGCAGATTTGGAAGAGTTGGGGCATTCCAGTTGCGGGTAAGACCCATGCCATGGCACATTTACCACTGCTGATAAGGCCAATGGGATTTCTGAGAGCAGGGAACCCCCACGATTTCCCTTGAGTGAGACTTCAGCTCAAGAGGGTAGCTGAACACACACAGGATTGTCTTTTCCCTCCCTAAAGGCAAAACTCAGAGGGACAAAGAAAACAGGAAAGAAAATGACGGCAACACAATTCTGAAAAGCGATGGATCATGATAACCATGCTATAGGAACCAAAAAAGCTAAATTTTAAACGTATCATAGGAAAAGCTGAGACGCCTGACTCACACCACAGAGCCACAAAGGGCAGAGGAACTGATAGTATCAGGGGCGCCTGGAGTGAGGGTGAAGCTGGGGTTATAAACAGCAGGACTGGATAAAAATCTTTTTAAAGACTTAGACCCACCAAATCCCCACCCATTCCACACAGCCAGTGGATTCCCCTCACACGTTAGGCAGAAGACCTAAAGTTTATTTTTGAGGAGGTAAGGGACTGGGAGGCCGCGGGCACAGTGAGGGCAGAGGAATCTACCAGACACAGAGGACTCGATAACAGGTATTTCTGAAAGCCCAGATGCCAGCCTTTATCCTTGCCCAGCTTGGGATGTTGCCAGCCAGGCCCATTACCTGCAGGCAGGAAGATGACCAACCCAGGAACAAAAATCTGAAGACACTGCCATGAAGAGGATCCCCGTGAATCAGCCTGTGAGATCACCCCGTGGAGGAGCCTTGCTGGACAGTCCCCCACTGTCACTGTTGGGACCCAAGGGCCCCCAGTCACTGGAGGGAAGCCTGTAATAGGAGAAGACTCAAGGCAGAAATAAGCAAAAAGACAAACTTGGAGGAAATAAATTATGATGGTTTTAAAGAAACTGGGCCATGAAACCAGAACAGAATGCTATTCAAGGAACATTCAGAGAACAAAATAAAAATGAAGAAAAAGGAGGAGGAGGGAGGGAGCGGAAGGACATTGGTAAGAAGAAATAAAACATTATAGCAGAATTTTTTCCAGAAAGTTTTAAAATAAAAACCCAAAGGAAGGGTGGAAAGATAAAACTGAGGAAAACTCCCAGAAGGTAGAACAAAAGGATAAAGGGAAGAGAAATAGGAGAGAAGAGGTTTTTAAAAATTAGAAGATCAGTCCAGGAGATCCAGTACCAACATAATCAGAGTCAGTAAGAGAAAACAAGGAAATGGTGAGAAATTTCATTAAAGAAACAATTCGAGAAAAGTTCTCAGGACTGGACAACACCAGTTTCCAGACTAAAGACAACCCACCATATTCCAGCATAGCCTGAGGCACATGCAGCGTTGAAAAGTCTCACAACACTGGATTCTAAGAAAAGATCCCAAAAACGTCAAAGCAAAAGATAGATTACAGATTGTATCATGGGTCCCCAGTGCTTCCCAGGGGCTCAGTGGTACAGAATCCACCTGCCAATGCAGGAGATGTTAAGAGACTTGGGTTTGATCCCTGGGTCAGGAAGATCCCCTGGGGAAGGAAATGGCAACCCACTCTAATATTCTTGCCTGGGAAATCCCATGAGCAGAGGAGCCTGGCAGGCTACAGTCCATGGGGTGGCCAAGGAATTGGACATGGCTTAGCGACTAAACAACAGCATGGGTCCCCAAGATCATATATAGGTTAACTGAGTCTCCAGGAAAATTCCCAGGACTTAGTATGGAGTCATTGCTGTGATTCACTGCAGTTGAAAGGACAGAGTACAGACAGCAAAAGGAAAAGGTACCTGGGGTGAAGTCCAGGAGAGACCAGGCACAAGCTGCCCCTCCCCTCAGGGTCACACAGGATGAACTGAAATCCTCCCTTGCTGAGTTGTGACAACAAGTGTGAGATGCCATCTACCAGGGGTGCTTGTTAGAGACTCGGCATCCCAGGATTTCACTGGGGGCTGGTCATATAGGGGAATAAATAGATGGGGAAACATTGGAAACAGTGGCAGACTTTATTTTTGGGGGCTCCAGAATCACTGCAGATGGTGACTGCAGTGAAATTAAAAGACGCTTACTCCTTGGAAGAAAAGTTATGACCAACCTAGACAGAATATTAAAAAGCAGAGCCAAATCACAGTGAGAACATCACTACTGTAATGCTTGGCTCCTGATGTTTCTTATTTCCTCACTATCAATCTGAGACCAGTAATAAATATGATATGTTATGTTGGGGTGGCGGGGGGGAAGCAGAGACACTATTACTTTGCCAACAAAGGTCTGTCTAGTTGAGGATATGGTTTTTCCAATAGTCATGTAAGGATGTGAGAGTTGGACTATAAAGAAAGTTGAGCACCGAAGAATTGATGCTTTTGAACTGTGGTGTTGGAGAAGACTCTTGAGAGTCCCTTGGACTGCAAGATCCAACCAGTCCATCCTAATGGAAATCAGTCCTGAATATTCATTGGAAGGACTGACATTGAAGCTGAAACTCCAATACTTTGGCCACCTGATGAGAAGAGCTGACTCATTTGAAAAGACCCTGATGCTGGGAAAGATTGAAGGCGGGAGGAGAAGGGGACCACAGAGGATGAGATGGTTGGATGGCATCACTGACTCGATGGACATGAGTTTGGGGAAACTCTGTGAGTTGATGATGGACAGGGAGGCCTGGCATGGTGCAGTCCATGGGGTCACAAAGAGTCGGACACGACTGGGCAACTGAACTGAACTGAACTGGTCGCATGGGCTCCTTCAGCCTGGTACACACCTATAGTCCAGACTCTCAGGGGGAAACCCAGTTAGTGTTAGTTGCTCAGTCATGTCCGACTCTTTGTGACCCCATGGACTGTAGCCCAGGAGGAAAACTAGTATTCAGCATAAACCACAAACACTGTTCACACAGGTAACACAGGCACAGTGAGTTGCTCTTAGTTCCAGGCGTGCTGGGTACACTCCCCAAATCCAAGGTCCTAGATGCCAACCAAGGGCACCTTCAAGCAGACTCTCCCAGGACAGCAGTCAGGCCTGCCTGTGAACTCTTCTGCATGTAGGTGGATCAGAATGATGTTTTATGTCTCAGTAGCAATGCTGCGAACCAGAAATGATGGAGCAGGGTCTCGAGAGCCCTGAGGAAAACTATTCCCAACTTAGAGCTATGTCAGGGAAGTGTGAGTATAGCGTTTTCAGACATTCGAAGCCTCCAAAAGTGTCTCGCCCCATCTCCTCTTTCTTGGAAAGCTGCTAGAGATGTTGCTCTACCAAAATGAAGGCATAAACTGAGGAAGAGGAAGATGTGGGGTCCAATACGAGTGAGGCAGAGGTGAATGGATTTTCTGGATGATGGAGAGGGCAGGCCCTAAGTCATGGCTCTGCATCAGACCTGGAGGTCACCGGTCTGGAGAGGAGAAGACCCAGAGGCCCTGGGAGAGAAACCCTCAGGGCAGTGAAACTGATGAAAGCACTTGGCCTCATGGAAAAGAGAATTACAGAGGGAGAGAGTTTGGACCAGTGGAAAAATATGGCAATTAACTCCAGGAAAAAAACAGAAAGTTGTGTGGGAAAAAGAAAGCAATCAAGGCTGGTCTGTCAAGAGCAATCCCATAATAACAAACATGGAATGCTTATCCGGCCAAAATGATGATGTAATTATTAGAGGGATGGTGGAGGCACTGAAATTATACACTGGCATGGGGAGGGGAACGGTGAGGTAGGGAAAGAGGCTGTAAATGTGAAAGAGAGCTAAATCTTCATCTTCTATGGTGGGAAGTCCATATGTAATAGGAAGTACGTAAGATTGAAACTCCAGGAAGTAGCAATATAAGCGTCTTATTGAAAGACACAAAGTATTCATAAAATTCACAACAAAAAAATCCATTTGGGGAATTGAAAGTGAGTGCCTCTAGGGAGCAGGACACCGGAGGGAGGTGGAGTTGGGAAGTATTATTGTTCATAATGATTTGAGCCTCTTAATCATTGACAGAAATACAAATATTTAATTTTTCATTTAGATATAAACTGCAAACAAGCACAAGAAGGAAGGGAGGAAGAGAGAGGAAGGAAAGGAGGTAGGAGGACAAGAGAGAGAGAAGGAAGGGAGAGAGGGAGAGAGCTGAAATGATGGACCGGCACGCTGTCTCTGCCCTGGTCAGGCCACCTCTTCCCAGTCCAGGCTCCACCCTTCCCAACCCTGAACTCCTCCCTGGAAGAGCAGCGAGGAGCAAGAATCTGGGAGACCAGGCACAGATTTGGTGCTTAGCCTGGGCCCAGAAAAGTCAGGACTGCTGAGGTCAGGTGCCAGAGTGCCCTGGAGACTCTGCACGTGTTGGAGGATGATGAGAAAAGTAAACTTCTATCGCTCTTAAGTCCTGCAGCTCATCAAGTCTCAGAAGTTTCTCAACAAGTTGGTGATCCTGGTGGAAACAGAGAAGGAGAAGACCCTGCGAAAGGAGTACGTTTTTGCTGACTCCAAAGTAAGTGACCACAAAGCCCTAGGACAAGCCAGGAGGGGAGTGAGGGAGGCACGGTTTCTGAGGCTTGCTGTGTGCCAGGAAGTGGGCACTGGGTACCGTCAGCTCGCTCAGCTCTCACACCCACTTCCCACCTGAAGCCAAGCCCAGGAAGGTGGGGGATGCATTCCAGGCCAGCTAGTAGCCCCATCCTCTCCCTCTGCCACCACGCTGGCCTATGAAAGAGTGCCTCCTTTATCATCCACGTCTTACCAGCCCGGAGCCCCCTTGGGAGGCTTTGAACTCCCCTGGGATGTGCCCAGAGGCCCTCAGAGACACCCCAGATTTAAATCTGAGTCTCAACCAGCACCCCCTCCATTTCTACACTTGCACCACCCCCAAGCAGAAGTGAGATTCCCTACCAGGTCTGGCTGCTGGAATAAGAGAGGGGTGGGCTGATGGAGAAACTTGGAATCTGGGCGTTGTGGGGGCATCTGTACAGACGGAGTCTCTGTGACCCGAGCTCTCACCTCACACGTCCCAACCAGGTGCAGAAACCCAGCCTTGCAGCCCTGCTGTTTATCCTGGCTCCACTGAGCCAGGCACGGGGCTCCCAGCACGTCAAGGATGACTGACTGTGTCAGCCCCGCGGCAGAGGGACAGGGCTCCTGGCACAGGCCCACGGGGACTGCCCCATCAAGTGCTGGGACCCGGCTCTGTCTACCTTTGTGGCAGGGGTGAGCTGGTAGGAGGGAAGTGGGGGCTCTGGGGGTCCCAGAATTGGCTGAGAGGGTGAAAAGGACTGGAAGGAGGTTTGAAAAGGGAGGAATGACAGAGAAGGAACTGGGGAGAAACAAGGAAGTGGGGGCCAGACAAGTGGGGGAGGCAACATGCTGGGCAGGTGGGCAGAGGTCCAAAACCCACTTCTGCTCATGGTCACGTGCTCAGAAGATGAGGCACAAGGGTAAACCGAGGCACGTAGTTCTGAGCTGCCCCTAGCCAAATGCAGATTCCCCATAAAGACAGCATCACAATTCTCAGTGAGCTGCTTTCTTCAGCGGAAACTTAGATTTGCAATTAAATTAGATTGAATGATAGGAGATTGTCATCTACAAAGGTCTGAGACAGTCAAACGTGGCTAATTTCACATGGTGCAGCCTAAAACTCTGGAGTGCACTTGGTTCGTCCGCCTCTGCTATTGAACTGTGAGCTATGAGAGGGCCACATCCACTTTGTGCCCTGCTGTGTACCAGGACAACAAAGTGAAGGCTACAGGGAAAGACAGCCTTCATGGGGTCTTTTCTTTCTCATTAGTTTCTTTAGTTTAAATTTTCTTTCATTGCATAAGTAATCTAATTCTTATTGGTAAAAAATAACTGATACAAATAAAAAGTTTAAAATAGAAACACGCATATATATTAGTTATCCTTGGATTCTATCTTTCAGGATGGTTTTTGTTTGTTTTAAATACAAACGCAGTGGTGCTGTTCACGTAGCTTTCATCAATTGGCTTTTCATGCTAAACAATGTATCTTGACCATCTACCCTTGTTGATGAAGTGTTTTTGCACCCAAATTTTTTAAATCTATGGTCTTCTAGCCTATGGATGACCCTTGAGACAGTAATTCACCTCCTAAGGCTGGACAGGAAGGCCTCTAGGATTTTCTGTGTTGAAACACGTGCAGCAGTACCCACGAGGTGGTTGGGTCTTCGCAGGGTCCCTGGTTCTTTCCTTAGTCGGGTCTTGCAGAGGAAGGGTGGGGTCAGAGAGAAGCCGCTCTCTTAAGACCTCGGGCACGTATTTCCAGATGGCTCTGCTGGAAGTCGGCACTGATCCGCGCTCCCCCCAGTTTTCTCGAAGCTGACCAGTCCTTTGAAAGTGTCATGTGCAGGGAGGCAGAGGCCTTTCTGAGTCTGTCTGCCTTCAATTCCTAGAAGAGAGAAGGCTTCTGCCAGCTCCTCCAGCAGATGAAGAACAAGCACTCGGAGCAGCCAGAGCCCGACATGATCACCATCTTCATTGGCACCTGGAACATGGGTGGGTCTGCCTGCCGCCCTGCCTCCCAGCTCTGCCCCTGGGCTCTGCTTTGCTGCCTTGGGCATCCTCGTCTGTCCGCCCCACCCCCAGCCCCTAGATGCGGGTACCCATCCTGAGACCAGGGGCAAAAGAAAGGAGAGCTGGGATTCTCAGCCGCTGAGTGCAGCTGAAAGGGGTTACGTAATTGTCAGAAATGGAAAGTTTTAGGTAAAGAGTGTGAATATATAGGTGAAGGGGTCCTTGGGCACCTGCCAGCCTTGGGCAGCTCTCCAAGGGGCTTCAGGCCTGGAAGAAGGAACCTCCTCTTTGATTTGGGCTGCCAGATTTATTGAGCGAGAAAGAAAAAAAGATGATGCCCAGCTGAATTTGAATTTCCTGTAAACAACAAATTATTTTTTAGTATAAGAATTTAGCTAGAAATACATACCTGTGTGTGCTCAATTGCTCAGTCTGTTCGACTCTTTCGCTGCCCCATGGACTGTAGCTGACTAGGCTCTTCTGTCTGGGATTTTCCAGGCAAGAGTACTGGAGTGGGTTGCAATTTCCTATTCCAGCGGATCGTCTCCACCCAGGGATGGAACCCATGTCTCCTGGCAGGCAGATTCTTTACCACTGAGCCACCTGGGAAGCAGAAATATATACTAAATATATATTATGCTATATATATTTATATATTAATATATTCCAAATATAATATCCTGAGTACATTAATATACTATATTATACTGAATATAATTACTCTAAATAATTATTTAGTATTACAGTTCAGTTAGAAGTGCAAATATACACCAAATATCCATTGTACTAAACATACATAGTGTATACTCAGGTGCTAATACACATTTTTATACTAATATGAATTATAGCAAGTAATTACTTAGTTTAAATATTCAGTTAGAAATTTTAAAAAATTAAGTAGACACAGAAGTTCCAGTCAATTTGAATTTTAGATAGTTACTACACGGGACATACTTGTTCTATAAACTATCCATTGTTTATCTGAAATTGAATTTAACTGGGCATGTCTCCCCCACTGTGATCTGGAGCAGAATCAGGGCCACCACCACCCCCACCATGCAGTAGGTCAGTCGCCTGGGAGGAAGTGGCTGAGCAGCAGGAGTGGGAATCTGAATGAAAAAGCTACATGGGACCCCTGGCCCGTTGCTGGGTGGAAGATGGGCTGGACTCAGGGAACTCAGAAGAGCTGCCCCCGTCCTTGTTGCACTAGCCTCAGCCTCCCCAGGTCTTCAGGCCCAGAAACCCGAAGAAGGGTTTCACAGCCGCGCTGAAGTATTGGGTTGGTCAAAACTCTCATTTGGGTTTTACTGGAACAAACTTTTTGGTCAACACATCAGAATGCTGGCCTAGTTCCTGTGTCCCTCACTCCCTGTCGGTTGTTTCTTATTGGCCGCCTGAGTCCCTCAGCTCTCACACCTGGGGTTTCATGCACACGGGCGCCCGGTCCGTTCCCCTGTTTCCTTCTGCAAGCATGGAAGTCTTTGATTTGGCTGTGCACCGTCCAGGTGAAGAGCTGCAGGCATGCCCTTCACACGCCATGGAAGGAGCTGACTAGGGCAGCCTGGGAGGGTCTCCCTGGGCAGAGACCACCAGGCCCCAGGGTTTATGTTCCCACCCTGAGCCACAACGGGAGCAAAGATCAGGTCACTCCAGTTCTTGGCTTCTTGGCAGTTGTGAGCCAGGATGGTTATCTCTCTCGGGGAAAAAAAAGTTGACTCAACCTCCAAGAAGATTTTGGGGGAAATAAATCTTTATCATTGTTTCTTTATTGAGCTGTTTCGGCTCAGTTTTTGCAATGACAGTGGACATGGGTGGGGCGTAGGGGCTCCAGGCTCTTCAATTCCTCTGGCTGACTCCTGCATGGCGTCTCTCGGTCTTCGGCTGAGAGCTCTCTTGTGCAATGAGGGCGTTGCTGTCTCCTAACTGTGGGTTAGAAGGCTCCATCCTAAACCTGTCAGCTGACAGCGCTGTCTCAATGGAGACAATGGAGAGTAATCTCAAGGCCTGTGTCCCAGTTACCACTATAACCCCAAAGACTAGGACAGTGGCTGACATCTGTGCTATGAGTTCAAGTTGCTACATGGAATCTTTGGGTGTTTCTAGCCTTTGAAGCTTAATGTTGTCTTTACAAAGCAGTGTAACATCCTGGGACATGATAGTACCTAGCTCTGTATCTAAGGTATTTCATTGGGTGGCCTGATGGGTTTTCAGTGACTGTGTGACCCCCCTGCCCCCTCCACATGTTTCCCCCACGTCTGTTCTGACTTCTCCTGATGTACCTTTGACTCACTCGGTGTTGGGTTTTGCTGTTGAAGGTAACGCCCCCCCTCCCAAGAAGATCACGTCCTGGTTTCTCTCCAAGGGGCAGGGAAAGACGCGGGACGACTCAGCTGATTACATCCCCCATGACATCTACGTGATCGGGACCCAGGAGGACCCCCTGGGAGAGAAGGAGTGGCTGGAGATACTCAAACACTCCCTGCAAGAGATCACCAGCATGACCTTTAAAACAGTGAGCAGTGGCCACGGCCCCGGGTGGGACGCCAGGGCAGTGGGCTTGGCAAGTCAGGAGCATCTCGGGGGCAAGAGTGTGCTCAGTGGTCCCCCTGCCATCCAGGGCCAGAGAGAGTCACCTGTATCCAATAATTAATGGTGTCCCTGGGCATTGCTGATCACTGGGGTCGTCCCTCTCCCTTGCCCGAGCTTGTAGGTAACCTTTACTTCCTTGAAATCTCGTCAGTGCTGGCCCTATCTTTAAGACATTTTGCATCATTTGTGAAGCATCCTTAGGGGTCCCCTAAAGTGTAGGAATGACCAGCAGGCTGCCCCACACCTGGGGGTGAAGGCTGGGTGTGCAACTCTTGCTCTGAGGTCAAGCACTGAGTCCTGGCCCAGAGTCACAGCACTGTCCTCCCCCCCAGATCGCCATCCACACCCTCTGGAACATCCGCATCGTGGTGCTGGCCAAGCCAGAGCACGAGAACCGGATCAGCCACATCTGCACCGACAACGTGAAGACGGGCATCGCCAACACACTGGGTGAGCCGGGGCGGGAATGAGCACGCTTCTGCCACACGCGCGTGTCCATCCTGTCTGGGATGGGTGGCACTCCCGGCCTCCAGTGCTCTGGATGGTCCTCCCAGGCCGCGTGCATGCAGGGTATACCCCAGTGCTTCTGAGGATCTGGCAGAACGCGGTTCTGACTCAGCACCTCTCAGGAGGAGCCTGACACTCCTGTGTTTCCGATGAACTCACAGTGGTGTCAGCGCTGCTGGCCCACAGGCCCCACCTTGAGTGTCAGGGATCAAGGACAGTTCAACAGCCGTGCTCTGAAGGGTCAGGTAGTAAATATGTTAGACTTTTCAGTCCACGTGCAACTTCTCAACCCTGCTGCCATCACACAAGAGCAATTGTAGACAGCAGGAACTTGGAAGAGCATGGCCATGTTCTAGAAAACTGTATCTACAAACCAGGCGGGGGCTTGATTCAGCCACAGGCTCTAGGTTGTGACCCCTGGTCTAGATCTAGACAGACTCAGGTGGAGGTGGAAACGCTGGTATCAGTAGGACCAGTCAGGCTGCTTCAGAGAATTGACACAAATGCGGAAGGCTGCATATGTGTGTGTGTGAGCGTGTGTGTGTCTGAGTCTGCGTGTGTGTAAGAGAGTGTGTGGAGTCTGAATGTGAATGTGTGTGTGAGTTTTCTGTGTCTTTTCAGTCTGTCCGTGAGTGTGTATTTGTGAATTTGTCAGTCAGTGAGTGTGTGTGTGTGAGTCTGTCTGTGTCAGTGTGTCTGTCAGTCTGTGTGTGAATATGAATCTGTCACTCTGTGTGTATGAATGTGAGTCTGTGAGTGTGAGTCAGTCTGTGTGTGTGCATCAGTCTGCGGGTGAATATGACTCTGTCAGTATGTGTGTATGAGTGTGAGTGTCTGTGAGTGTGAGCCTGTCAGCCTGTGTGTGTGCTTCAGTCTGTGGCAGAATATGACTGTCGATCTGTGTGTGTGAGTGTGAGTCTGTCAGCCTGCGAGGTTGAGTCTGTCTGTCGGCCTGTGTGTGTGTGTGTGAGTGAGCCTGTCGGCCTGTGTGTGTGAGTGTGAGCCTGTCAGCCTGTGTGTGAGTCTGTCAGTCTGTATGAGTCTCTCTGTGTGTGCATCAGTCTGTGGGTGAATATGGCTGTCAGTCTGTGAGTGTGAGCCTGTCAGCCTGTGTGTGAGTCTGTCAGTCTGTATGAGTCTCTCTGTGTGTGCATCAGTCTGTGGGTGAATATGGCTGTCAGTCTGTGTGTGTGAGTGTGAGTCTGTCAGTCTGTGTGTGAGTCTGTCTGTGTGTGTGCATCAGTCTATGGGTGAATATGACTGTCAGTCTGTGAGTGTGAGCCTGTCAGCCTGTGTGTGAGTCTGTCAGTCTGTATGAGTCTCTCTGTGTGTGCATCAGTCTGTGGGTGAATATGGCTGTCAGTCTGTGTGTGTGAGTGTGAGTCTGTCAGTCTGTGTGTGAGTCTGTCTGTGTGTGTGCATCAGTCTATGGGTGAATATGGCTGTCAGTCTGTGAGTGTGAGCCTGTCAGTCTGGGTGTGAGTCTGTCAGTCTGTGTATGTGAGTCTGTCTGTGTGTATGCGTCAGTCTGTGGGTGAATATGACTCTCAATCTGTGTGTGAGTGTGTCAGTCTGTGTGAGTCTGTCAGTCTGTATGAGTCTGTCTGTGTGTGTGCATCAGTCTGTGGGTGAATATGGCTGTCAGTCTGTGTGTGTGAGTGTGAGGTTGAGTCTGTCAGTCTGAACGTGAGTCTGTCGGCCTGTGTGTGTGTCTGTGAGTGTGAGCCTGTCAGCCTGTGTCTGTGAGTGAGTCTGTCAGCCTGTGTGTGTGAGTGTGAGCCTGTCGGCCTGTGTGTGTCTGTGAGTGAGTCTGTCAGCCTGTGTGTGTGAGTGTGAGCCTGTCAGCCTGTGAGGTTGAGTCTGTCAGTCTGAACGTGAGCCTGTCGGCCTGTGTGTGTGTCTGTGAGTGAGCCTGTCGGCCTGTGTGTGTGTCTGTGAGTGAGCCTGTCGGCCTGTGTGTGTGTCTGTGAGTGAGCCTGTCGGCCTGTGTGTGTGTCTGTGAGTGAGCCTGTCGGCCTGTGTGTGTGAGTGTGAGTCTGTCAGCCTGTGAGGTTGAGTCTGTCAGTCTGAACGTGAGCCTGTCGGCCTGTGTTTGTGTCTGTGAGTGAGCCTGTCAGTCTGTGTGTGAGTCTGTCAGTCTGTATGAGTCTCTGTGTGTGTGCATCAGTCTATGGGTGAATATGACTGTCAGCCTGTGTGTGTGAGTGTGAGTCTGTCAGCCTGTGTGTGAGTGGCGGGGAGTGAATGGGGCAGGTGCACCCACACGGGGGCTGTGGGTGGCAGCGAGGGTGAGGCCAACGATTTCTGGTGCTTGGCGTCAGGGACAGGACAGAGCCCCAGAGGTGACAGGAAGTAGAACTGCCACCACGGAACGTGAAACGCTCCCTCAGCCTTTCTGCTGACAAACCGCGAGCTGCCCGCCACCACACCCACGTGTCCGCCTTCCTTCCTGTGGCAGCAGCTGCCCTGCTCTGCCACCCACGCCCTCTGCTGCCCAGGAACCCGCTTCTAGCCCTCAAGCCCCTCTGCGGGGCTGCCCGCCCCCTCCACCAGCCGCCGGCCACAGCCTGCTCAGACCTCCCGTTACAAGACAGGACCACCCTCAGCGGGACGGAGCTGACTGTGCCCCCAGCCCCACCCAGCACTGTGCTGGGCCCCCAGGCTCCTGCCTGCCGCACAGAGGGGTGCTCCCACAGCTGGACAGACAGACTGCCAGCAGGTTGGTGGGGAGTGAGCATGCCGGCAAAGAGACGTGGCAGGGGGTGGGGGGCTCCAGGGGCTACTTGCAGTGGATGGGGGTCTAGGGGCCTCTCTGAAAAGTCAGAGAGCTGAGGAAGTGTCCTTGTAAGGGAGAAGCATTCCACGTGGCAGGAGCAGCAAAGCAAAGGCCCTGTGGTCGCTGGGCTCAGCCTTACAGGGTGACAGGACAAGGCCAGAGAGGGGGGCAGCAGGCCCGGGCAGTCTTGAGTTTCATGGTTCTCAGAGGGCAGCTTGGAGGCAGGGGATTTCTCATGCACCAGTCTCTGCTTCCCTCCCCTCCTCTTGTCCTCTGGGGCCACTCTACCCCCATTTCCCTCCCCTGAAATGGCTCCCAACCATGGTTAGCACAGGGCAGGAGTTCAGTGGGTGCTGGCTGACGGGTGGAAGAGCTGAGACCTCCTAGAGGGTGGACCCGGTGCAAGGCTGCGTGTCATTTAATACAAACACCCTGTGGGGGCAGGGACTATCCTGAGCCCCACTCACAGACAGGGCTCTGGAGGCTACAGTGATGTTCCCAAACCTGCCCAAGGCCCTGTGACAGGGAAATGGCGGGCAAGGACTTAAACCTAGGCCCCAGGCTGGGGAGAAAGCTGACAGGAGGGGCCTCCTGGGGGCAGGGGAATCATCTCCAGGGCAGAGGGGAGAGAGCCGTGGGTTAGGAGGCCCAGCCTGGCTTGTCCCCAGGGCCCTCTCATTGTCCAGCCCGGGCAGAATGTTAGCCAGCTGTGTGGTTTTACATTTTGAGTACTAAATTAAAGGAAAAGGAAACAAGGAAAGTCAATCTTAACAATATAACATATAAAAAAAATCATATCAATATATCATATCATGAAAGTGAAAGTGTTAGTCACTCAGTCGTGTCCGACTCTTCACGACCCCATGGACTGTAGCCTGACAAGCTCCTCTGTCCATGGAATTCTCCAGGCAAGAATACTGGAGTGGGTTGCCATGCACTTCTCTAGGGGATCTTCCTGACCCAGGGATTGAACCCGGGGCTCCTGCATTGCAGGCAGATTCTCTACCATCTGAGCCACCAGGGCTCATACATTCAAAATATTACCATTTCAATGAATATTCAGTTTAAAGGTTTATTAAATATTTTACAGTCCATTCTTCTACTGAGGTTTAAAATTCTGTTGTGTCTCATACTCACGGCCCATCTCAGTCAAGACCAACACATCTCACAGCTGCCATGATGGGCAGAGAAGGTTCCCAGACTTTGGCATGTGTCAGAACCACCTAGAGCAGGGCTGGCAGACTTGTTCTCTAAAAGGCTCAGTTCAGTTCAGTTCAGTTCAGTCGCTCAGTCGTTTCCGGCTCTTTGCAACCCCATGAATCACAGCACGCCAGGCCTCCCTGTCCATCACCAACTCCCAGAGTTTACTCAAACTCATGTCCATCGAGTCGGTGATGCCATCCAGCCATCTCATTCTCTGTCGTCCCCTTCTCCTCCTGCCCCCAGTCCCTCCCAGCATCAGTCTTTTCCAATGAGTCAACTCTTCGCATGAGGTGGCCAAAGTACTGAAGTTTCAGCTTCAGCATCAGTCCTTCCAGTGAACACCCAGGACTGATCTCCTTTAGGATGGACTGGTTGGATCTCCTTGCAGTCCAAGGGACTCTCAAGAGTCTTCTCCAACACCACAGTTCAAAAACATCAATTTTTCCGCTCTCAGCTTTCTTCACAGTCTAAAAGGCTAAATAGTAAATATTTCAGACTCTGCAGGTCATGCTGTCTGTGTCATAACTACTGGACTCTATCTAAGAGCATAGCTGTGTTCCAATAAAATGTTGTTTATAGACTCTGAATTTCATATCATTTTAATTTCATATCAATTTAATCAAAATATTCTTTTGATTTTCCCCCAATTATTTAAAAATGCAAAAACCGTCCTTAGCTGGTGGAGGGACAGTGTTGGCCTAACTCCTGACCAACAGGACTTGTTAGACAGGTATTACTGGCTCCCACTCTCTAAGTGAGTGGACCCTGGGAGCAAACCCTGGGAGATGGTGATGGACAGGGAAGCCTGCAGTGCTGCAGTCCATGGGGTCGCCAAGAGTCGGATATGACTTGGTGACGAAACAACAACAAACATGTAATATATTTAGGGCTTCCCTGGTGGCTCAGTGGTAAAGAATCCGCCTGCCAATGAAGACATGCAGGCTTGATCCCTGAGTCGGGACGATCCCCTGGAGAAGGCAACGGCAACCCATTCTGACATTCCCGCCTGGGAAAGCCCATGGACAGAGGAGCCTGGAGGGCTACAGCCCAGCCCGCAGGGTCGCAAGAGTCAGAAACGACTTTGCAGCTGAACAACAGCTCCCAAAGCTCTGATTCAGCAGATCTGGGGCAGGGCCTGCAACATGCCCTTGCAGCAAGTTCCCAGGTGGTGCTGCTGCTGGTGCTCGGAGGAACGCACTCAGAACCACGGGTCTCCGTGCAGGTTTTGGCCCCTCCAGGAGGCTGGGGTTTGCTAGTGCAAGGTCAGCCCCACCCCAGCCGCCGGCTCCTCTTCCTACCTCTTCTCAAGGTTTCTGAGTATTTCTGATGGCCCTGCTTGGGGAAACACACACACACACACACACACACACACACACCTGCTTAGAGGGCGATGCCAGGATGACTTACACCAGCAGCTTCCTCCCTTGGACCTGCCGAGAACCCCAAGGCTGCCAGTTGTTCACCCCGTTTTCTTGTTGTCCTGGAGGAATCTTACCCCTCACCCCAGTTCCTATCCCCTGCCATCTCTCACCCTAGACGAAACTGCTCTTCTTCCTTGGCCTCAACTTTTTCCCATGGCTGCTCTCCTGATGAGTGGCGTGGCTTCACCCTGATTTCCCACCTCTTGGCAGCTTTGCCTGTCGGGCGTTCTGACTTCTCCCTTCTCTCCTACCTTTAGGGAACAAGGGAGCCGTGGGGGTGTCGTTCATGTTCAATGGAACCTCCTTGGGATTTGTTAACAGTCACCTGACTTCAGGAAGCGAAAAGAAACTCAGGTAATGGAGCTCACTCCCCGAGAGCAGCTATTGGGGTTATTTGCCCAGACAGACCTCAACGCCTAGACCCCGTCAGCCCTCGGCCAAGCCCTGCCCTGTTGGCCTCTAAGGGCTTTTCCTGTGGTCTCATCAAAGGCACCTGCGGCACAGGGGTGTGGGTGAATCTTGCCTAGGGGACAGAGCAGACACTTCCTTATGTCACTAACCAGAGACGTCCAAACACCACTCCGCTTCTCAAGAGGAAAGCCTCCTCGGGGCACCGTCACAGGTGAAAGCCCGATTTGCCTATGGTGGCCCAGTGATGCAGAGTCATCGAGAAGGTTGATGACCCTGAGTCCCTGCAGAGCAGATGCTCCCGGGGCCCTGCCCTGCATTCCCAGTTCAGCCCAGGGACCACATCAGATGGGTGGTTGCAGGAGACTGAAGTTTCACTTCCCCACATGTCCCCCTCTGACTTCCTGGCCCGTGGCGTAGGGAACCCACGATCCCATGCTAAGCTGGCTTCTTTTTCGTTTCACTAGGCGAAACCAAAACTACATGAATATTCTCCGGTTTCTGGCTCTGGGAGACAAGAAGTTGAGCTCTTTTAACATCACTCACCGCTTCACCCACCTCTTCTGGCTCGGGGATCTCAACTACCGCGTGGAGCTGCCCACCTGGGTGAGGGGCTACCTGCCCGGAGCCAGGGCTGCACGGGGCAGAGGCTCCCTTGAGCTGGCTCAGGGCGGAGGGTCATGGGGACACACGGACCAAGCTGGGCCAGAGCGGCCACTCCTCTGGGACTCGACACTGTTCCGACTATGGAGCCACTGCCTTTCTTTCCTGTTGGCCTCTTCTCAACCCGGGCTTCCCTGATAGCTCAGCTGATAAAGAATCCGCCTGCAATGCAGGAGACCCCAGTTTGATTCCTGGGCCAGGAAGATCTACTGGAGAAGGGATAGGCTACCCACTCCAGTATTCTTGGTCTTCACTGGTGGCTCAACTGGTAAAGAATCTGCCTGCAATGCGGGAGACCTGGGTTTGATCCCTGGGTTGGGAAGATCCCCTGGAGAAGGGAATGGCTACTCACTCCAGTATTCTGACCTGGAGAATTCCATGGACTGTAAAGTCCATGGGGTTGCAAAGAGCCGGACACAACTGAGCGACTTTCACTTTCTGCTCACACTTACTTGCCACACTCCTGTTCTGGCCACCCCTCCCTACCACCACTATGCCGCTCCAGTGCCCTAGCTGACCAGCAGCAGCCTCTCAACTCACCAGTCCCAGATCCCGAGGAAAGGCTGAAGTCTGTGGGGACCAGCTCAATTTTCTCCCCACATCATGGGTCACCAGGCAGCCTGAGGAAGACATTCCTGAAGCTGGACGCCCATCCAATGAGCAGCAGTCAGAGGGGGCCCCCTGGCACAGACGGCCTTGCTTCCTTGGGGAAGGCAAAGGATTCCCTGGGAAGGGGTGGACTGGCGTGGCCCCTGGACATGATGAGAATGAGATGCGGTCACTTTTGTGCTCCTGAAAGAGGGGGCAGGGGCCAGGCCTGGGAGCAGAACCACGCTTGTCTGCTCCCTGTGTAACGGGGGTCCTTTGCGCTGGTGTCTGTGCAGGGGGAGGGGATGGTGGAGACAGACCTGATTTTACAGTTGAGAGCACAAGCAGCCTAAGAGGATGGCCTTGGGTTGGCCACAGATCTCTGACAGTGGGATTGCACTTGGGCCTTGGGGCTCTGCTCCCAGATGCTTTCCCAGGCACTCCACATCCCGCACCTTCTAGGCCTCCCGCTACCACAGCGGCTCTTGGCCCATCTGTGCCCTCCTCACCCTCCCCAACCCCTCCCTCCCTCCCAAGATGCTTCTTGAGAATTCCTCCTCTTCCCCCTGACTGAGCAGGCAAAGGGGATGGGGTAGACAGGGGCCTCATAGATCCTGACCCTTCCCAACTAGGGGCCATCCCAACCATTCACTCCCCAGAGTGTCGGCCCAGTGCATCTGCCAGAGTGGATGTATCATAAGTCCTGGGAGAGAGGACAGCTGGATCCTGAGGCTAGCACAGCCCACCAATGTCATGGCGACTCTCGGAGTCTGAGCCCAGATCACAGAGACCTGGTGCCCACAGATTCAGGGGCTAGGGTCTCAGATCGTTTCATAGCTTTATGAACAAGCTGTCTCACAGAGACAGTGAGAGAGCAAGGGAGACATACCTACCAAGGAAGTCTTATAAAAAGGATGCTAGAAGTCCATGTGCAAAAATAGTGTCCCTCTGCAAATTCAGAACAGGCAGAAACTTCTGTTATTGAGGTGATATTTCACTGCACTTGCAAGATTTTCCTTATTAAATGGTTGAGTGTAAATAAGCACCAACTTGACATCTCTAGAACCAGGGCCTGGGGCAACTTTGGGGGCTCGGAGTCCCGGTGTGACAGGCAGGCAGGTAGGTGATATGCCCCTTGTCGTGTGGTGAAGGGCTCGTCTCACCAGTGGCCTGGCCACGTCTTTGCTCCAGGAGGCAGAAACCATCATTCAGAAGATCAAGCAGCAGCAGTATGCAGACCTCCTGTCCCACGACCAGCTGCTCATGGAGAGGAAGGAGCAGAAGGTTTTCCTGCACTTTGGTGAGAACCACCGTCGTTTTCTCGTGGGCCCCTCCCTCCATCGTCCTGTCTCCCTTTTTCCCAAACATCCTCACTGGGGGTGGGGCGGGGGGGAGTGATACCTGGAAAAGAGAGAAACTTGCCCAGATGTGAAACATGGGAAGTCAAAACTGAAACCACCGTTTTGTTTGATTTCAGAGGAGGAAGAAATCACATTTGCACCCACCTATCGTTTTGAAAGAATGACTCGGGACAAATACGCCTACACTAAGCAGAAAGCCACAGGGGTGAGTCCTTTCCTGTCCTCCATCTCCACCTGCCTTGCACATCTCAGCCCTCCTTTGTCCATTCCCATAAAGGCGAATAGGAAGTGAAGAGAACCCTCATCCACTAGGTAACAAAAAAGAAATGGCATTAGAAACGTATGTTGATCATGTCACAGAGAAAACCCTCACCTAGGGAGAGCCTGGGCAAGCAGACGTGGCCCCTGTGAGGAGCTGGCTCATAATGCTTCTGTTCACGTGTGTGCACGCATGTGTGTGTGTGTGTGTGCGTGTGACTGTACACCACGTCTTCTTTATCCGTCCATCCCTTGATGGACATTTGGGTTGTTTCCACGTCTTGGCTCCTGTAAGTTGTGCTGCAGTGAACATTGAAAGGCATGTAACTCTTCAAATTAGAGTTTTCTCCAGATATATGCCCAGGAGTGGGATTGCAGGATGATATGGCAGCTCTATATTTAGTTTTTTAAGGAAACTCCCTACTGTTCTCCATAGTGGTTGCACCAATTTACATTCCCACCAAGAGTGTAGGAGGATTCCTTTTTCTCCACAGTCTCTCCAGCATTTATTTGTAGACTTTTAAAAATAAAGATGGCCATTCTGACCAGTGTGAGGTGATACTTCATTGTAGTTTTGGTTTGTGTTTTTCTAATAATTAGTGATATTGAGTATCTTTTCATGTACCTGTTGGGCATTTATATGTCTTCTTTGGAGAAGTGTTTGTTTAGGTCTTCTCATTTTTTGATTGGGTTATTTGGGCTTTTTTATATTAAGCTGTATGAGCTGTTTGTATATTTTCTGTCTCTTTTTAAAGTCCTATAAATATATTTGCTAATCTGCCAAGTGAATCATCATTATACTAGCTTCTTTGCTTCGGTACTTATCAGTGCCTTTACAGGTTTATGAGCACAGGATTCTCTATGGGAAAATTCATGTGCCAAATTCAGGTGGTCATGAAATATCAGTTAATATCTTATGAGACCACTTGTGTTCCATGGAACAGTGAGGAAACTGTTATAAAGCATTCATTCATTCATTCTTGTGTAACAGGTATTTACCAATGACCTGTGATGGGTTAGGCACTGTCCTAGGTTGGTGGGAGATCAAAGATGAGTTAGATGTCTGCCCTCAAAGAGTTAGGAAAGGCAAGATAAAGACACAACTAATCAGAAAGTGAAAGCGTTAGTCACTCAGTCATGTCTGACTCTTTCTGATCCCATGGACTGTAGCCTGCCAGACTCCTCTGTCCATGGGCTTTTCCAGTCAAGAATACTAGAGCAGGTAGCCATTCCTTTTTCCAGGGTATCTTCCCTCTTGCACTGCAGGCAGATTCTTTACCATCTGAGCCACCAGGGAAGCCCTAGCCAGAGATAGAATGCAATGCGATGCCCAATTCTATGAGGAGTACTCCCCGAGAGAAATGACCACCGGGGCAGGGAAGAATCCGGGAGGCTTCTTGAAGAGGGGCTTTGAGGTGCCTGAAGGGCACTTGGATTTCAACAAAGAGGCAGGACAAGGGCTGAGGGGGGCTGATCCACTTCAGGTTGAAAGGACTGCCGGAGCAGATGCCAAGGCAGGAAATCTGGCACCCATCACCTTCTGGGGGCTGGTCCAGAAGTCCAAGAGGACCAGCCCTGTGCTGGGTCCTGGGGGACAGGGGTGCTATAGTGGGGAGCTTCCCCACCCACTAGAGGCCTGGGGAAAAGGAGAGAGTTCTGGGCAACAGCTGGGCTCAGGGGCAGGTAGAAGACTGGATGGAAGTGGAAGAGAAAGGCCAGGAGTTGGGGAGATGCCTGAACAAAGCAGGAGTTAGAGAAGGGGAAAAAGCAGAGAGGAGGAGGGCAGACTCAGGACTCCTACCAGGAGGAGGCTGAGACCTGGGGCAGGACACCTCACGAGGTACTCACTGGCTGCCGTGTGGCTGGGCTCGTCTGGTTTAAAGGCACCACTGGGGCAGGCCCACGGGGGTACATTTGGAGGTGGTGAGGGGATGGTCTAGTTGGACTTGAGTATGAGGAGGAAGAGGCAGGGGCCTGAGATGGCAAAGAGGAAGTTCCTTGATGCCAGGCGAAGCGTTTTCACCTATTAGATGGGCACCTGCTTCAGGAAGCCACTACAAGATCCCCTGAAGGGCTGGCAGCATCCCGGTGCTACACAGAAAACCGGTCTGCATCAGTGTAAAGGATGAGGGTGACGCAGGGGACCAACAAGGAGGCTGAGAGATAACTGGGCCTGAAGCCGGAGGGGAAACAGTGAAAATGAAAGAAGAAAAGCAGGATATATTGATCCATCTGACTGATGTTAATATAAACTGTGAGATCAGAAGGCAGAGCTGGCTCCAAAGGGGAAAGTAGAGCTTGTTTTCAGGCTCACTGTGTAATGTGAGTGGAAAATCCCAAAGAAAACATCCAGAGGGCAGTTAAGAATGCTAGACTGATGCTAAAGTGAGATGCCAGGGCTGGGTCGTAGATCTGGGAGCTGTCTGCACAGAGAAGATGGTCAGATCCATGGGAATAGGTGAGGTCGCCAAAGAGTGCGTGGATGATGATCGTAGAAGAGCTATGGACAGATCTGGGGTCATCTCCATTCAGAGAGGGGAGGGAGAAGCAGAGATGACAAAGGAGACAGAAAAAGAGTGGATGTAGATGGTTAGAGGACCAAGCAGACTGCTCAAAGCATCACAGAAGCCAGGCTGAGCGACTTGCCAGGGTCGGTGGTCACCAGCATGGAGTGTGTGAGCCAAGGAGAACAGGTACATTCACAGGAGCCCTGAGCCAGCAGCCGGACTCGGGTTCAGGGGTTTGGGTGGACACTGAAAGAACAGTTGCCATAGAGGTTGTTTTGTTTTTTGGCTACACTGGGGCTTCGTTGCCGCTAGTGGACATTCTTTACTTGTGGCATGCGGGCTTCTCCTTGTGGTGGCTTCTCTTGCTGTGGATCATGGACTCTAGAGTACAGGCTCAGCAGTTGTGGCATCCTGGCTTACCTGCTGCGAGGCATGTGGAATCTTCCCAGACCAGGGATTGAACTCATGTCCCCTGCATTAGCAGGTAGATTCTTCACCACGGGACCCCCAGGGACGTCACTTGACTTAGAGTCTTGGGGGTGAGATCCAGACTGCAAGGGGGTCAGAGTGGCTTTTCACTCAGAATGTGCAGATGAATCACTGATGAGTCTTTTCAGAAATACAGATGTCTCCACCTCCTCGCCAGAGGTTCTGATGCAACAGATCGGGGGTGGGGCCCTGTTCTCTGGGTCTTTGTAAAGCTCCACCAATAATTCTGCAGAGCAGCCAGTGCTGAGAACTGCCGTGTTAAGAAGTAACAGTTTGATGGGCAAAACAGAAACAGAGACTCCGATGTATAGAACAGACTTGTGGACTCTGGGAGAAGGCGAGGGTGGGATGTTTCAAGAGAACAGCATCGAAACATGTATATTATCTAGGGTGAAACAGATCACCAGCCCAGGTTGGGTGCATGAGACAAGTGCTCGGGCCTGGTGCACTGGGAAGACCCAGAGGGATCGGGTGGAGAGGGAGGTGGGAGGGGGGACCGGGATGGGGAATACATGTAAATCCATGGCTAATTCATTTCAATGTATGACAAAACCCACTGCAATGATGTAAAGTAATTAGCCTCCAACTAATAAAAATAAATGAAAAAAAAAAAAGAAGTAACAGTTTGGCAGCATCTCTGAAATCTGAACATGCACCTACCCTATTCAGCAGTTCTGCTTTGGTGTACACCCGAGAGAAAGTAGTGCATTTATTCACTCAAAGACAGATACAAGGACGTTTACAGCACCTTTGTTTATAATGTCAAAAAACTGGGAACAACCCTATTTCTAGCAACAGTAGAATTGATGAATGTGATTTATACATACAATGGAATACAACTGCAGCAATAAAATGAAAACACATTTATTCAAGAAATAGGATGAAGAAGGTTGAAAGAAGCCAGACACAAAAGAATATGTACTGAATGAGTCCACTGATAGGTTCAAGAGTGGGCAAAATTAATCAATGGAGAAACCTTCGTCATGGTCGTGTTTACCTCTCAGAGGCGGTAGCATTGACAAGGAAGGGACACAAATGGACCTTTTGGGATGATAGACATTTTCTACAGCTTGATCTAGGTAGTGGTTAAATGGGCATATACAAATGTAAAAAAAAATCCTCAAGTTGTACGGCATAGATTACCGCACTTTACTATACGTAGGTTGTATATGTGTGTGTGCTCAGTCGCTCAGTTGTGACCCCATGGACTGTAGCCCACCAGGCTCCTTTGTTCATGGAATTTTTCCAGGCAAGAATACTGAAGTGGGCTGCCATTTCCTCCTCTAGGGGAATCTTCCCAAATCAGGGATCAAACAACTCCCTTGCATCCACTGCACTCGAAGGAAGATTCATTACCTTCTGCGCCACCTTGGAAGACCAGGATGTATATACCTCAAATTAGGAAAGAGTAATGGGCAGTCCAGAAATAGAGGCAGTGAAAAGAGAGCATTCTTGAAAGAAAAATGGCAAAAAGAAGAAAAGAGTAATTGAAGGTGTCAGGGATAGGCTCTTTTAGGATGAGAAATATTATGTTTGCAGGCATGGCACTAGTGGTAAAGAACCAACCTGCCAATGCAGGAGATGTAAGAGATGTGGGTTTGATCACTCAGTAGGAAGATCCCCTGGAGAAGGAAATGGCAACCCACTTCAGGATTCTTGCCTGGAGAATCCCATGGATAGAGAAGCCTGGCGGGCTATGGCACATAGGGTCACAAAAAGTCAGACATGACTGAAGTGACTTAGCATGCAGAGGAGAAGGAGCTAGAACTTGAAAGGGGCTATTCATTAAGGAGGTTGTTATTGCCAGTTTGCCTTATCTCCGACACCCAGCAGAAATCTTGCTCACAGTGTATCTTGGAGAGGGCTTGTCATAGTACATACTGTTTGAATGATTACATATGTAGGTGGATGGATGGATGGCTGGGTGGATAAGTAGGTGAGGGATGGATGTATAAGTTGATGGGTAGATAACTGGATGGATGGATGTGTGAATGAGTGCCTGGGTAGATGGTGAATGAATGAGTGAAGGGGAAAGGTAGCTAGAGTATTTTATTAAAGAAAATTGTTGGAGAAAATGAGCAGAGATTGGGTTGAAAATCAGGTAGAGGGGTTCATTTCAGTCCAAAAAAAGTAAGAGAATATAAAGCAACAAAACATTCTGAAATAGTGAGGAGGATAGGTAAGGGAGCTCGGCCAGGTGAACCTCATTAAAGGGGGGGGTGTAGGTGTCTGAAACTCTGGGTCGTGACCATGGAGCCAGGACTTAAGACAGGTGGAAAGAGTTGAAAACCACTTCTGGAGAAATTCTATAAAGAACCAGCAGCAGATGAACCCAAGGATTACAGATGCCATGAGTTAATCTCTTCTTTTATGATTTCTTTCTGGAGAAGGAAATGGCAACCCACTCCAGTACTCTTGCCTGGAAAATCCCATGGACGAAGAGCCTGGTAGGCTACCTTCCACGGGGTCGCAAAGAGTCAGACACGACTGAGCGACTTTACTTTACTTTATGATTTCTTTTAAAAGTAGCATGCATTCTTTTTTTTTTTTTTTAACAATAGTAACTGGACAAGGAGCTTTAGGGGACACTGCTATATAATAAAATATTCAAAGATTAATAGTCCGTGGATGATAGCAGAGTCAACAAGATTCCTATTTTTCAAAAAGTTTCTAAATCACTTAATGAAACCAACTTGCAAGCAAATATAATCAAATGCTTTAGGTGCTATGATAGCGGTGGGTGTGGAATAATGATGGGGGCATAAAATAGGGATGGAAAATGGTTACCTCACTCATGATTCTAGAGGTGTTGCTATCTGCTCTTTCTTCTGATCCTTTGCTTTTAACCTGGTAATGCTGAATAAAAATAGGAATAGCAGACATTCATGATTCATTCTTAATCTCAGAGTAAAAGCCTTAAATATTGTAAGGGGTAGTTTAGTTTTTGCTTTGTTTTGAAAATACTATGTCAGATTAAGGCAATTCCCTTCTATTCTTTAATATATATACTTAACCTTGAATGGATATGAGATTTTGTCAAATTCTTTTTCTTTATTTATGGGTGCAATATGATTTTCTTCCTTTACTCTGTTAATATAGAGAATTACATTGAATGATTTTCCATATTAAAATAACTTTGCAATTCTGGAATAAATGCAGTTTGGTAATGGTATATTATCTTTTAAAATATATTGCTAGATTTGATTTGGTAATACTGTAAATATTTTGTATTTATGTTCATGAAAGAGATTGGCCTGAATTTTCGTATCTTATAGTATAACAGTCTTGTCAATTTTTTTACCTCCAGGCTATGCTAGCATTAAATACATGTATCTGTCTATATCTGTAACTAGCTAGCTAGCTAACTAGCTATCTATTAGATAGCATTTTATAAAGCCCTGACTTTGACTTGCAGATGAAATACAATTTGCCTTCCTGGTGTGACCGAGTCCTCTGGAAGTCTTACCCGCTGGTGCATGTGGTATGTCAGTCCTACGGTGAGTGGCAAGTTAAGAGATTTCACTTCCCTAAGTTAAAGGGCTGCAGTCCGTCCATCTGTATACGGAGAGAACTCCCTGCAGCTCCAGTCAGGTGACCTCAAAGAGACGATGTATCCTGCCCGTCTTGGGCTGCAACATAGTAAATATTTCCTGGTTTGGGAAACATTTGAATTAGGGAGCAGTTTTAAAAATAAATCCAGATTTATTTTTTTGAAGAAAGTCTATTAGGTTTGAACCATATGGAAGTGGTGTTTTCATAGGTGAAAAATAGTTAACTATTGGTTCATTCATATGGTTCAACCTAATGCATATCATGAGTATACACACATGTATTTGGGGAAATTTGGATTACATTGATGAAAAACGCATGAGATGCAATATTAAATAATTGTGGAAAAGCTATTCAGCCCTGTTTCACCCCCACAGAGTCGGGGTCCTGCTGCTGCCTAGTGGCCACTTTCAAGGCTCCCACCCTCTGTTGTTGTTGCTGCTGCTGCTGCTGTTGTTCAGTGGCTCAGTTGTGTCCAAATCTCTGTGACCCCATGGACTGCAGCACACCAGGCCTCCCTGTCCATTACCATCTCCTGGAGTTTGTTCAACTCATGTCCATTGAGTTGGTGATGCCATCCAACTATCTCATCCTCTGTCATCCCCTTCTCCTCCTGCCGTCAATCTCTCCCAGCATCAGGGTTTTTTCCAATGAGTCAACACCCTCTGTGGGGACCAACAAATCCCCACATTCAGCTCAGGTTCCACACAGTTGACTAGGTTTCCATTCCTCTCTTTTGTGCGTGTCTCCTGCTCCCCCGAAGGGACCAGAGCAGCTACCCTGGGCTAGTTCAAGGCACGTGCCCTGGGGTCCCCTGGCCTCTGGGCTCTGTCCCCAGAAGGGACTTCACTCACCTTTACGTGCGTGGAAAGGCAACCCACAGCCACAGCCAGGGGACTGTTCTGCTTCTAAACCTACAAAGGCTCCACATCCTCTCCTCATGCCCCTCCACACCCGTGCTCTCCAAGCCTGTGACCCCTGCTGCCAGCGGCCATCACCCTGTCCTCTCTCTGCGTGATGTCTGTCCCTCATTCTGCAGCTCCATGAGTCCTGCCAACTTTCGAGTCAGCCTTCTGTGACCAGCCTCTGCGGAGAGTCGGGAAAAAGTGGCGACCTGTGGCATTCCCGCTTTTTGAGCCTAAACTTGGCATTCAAAGCGAGCCCAGCATGGGGGTCTTTAGAAAGAAGGAGGGAGACTGGTCTGGAAGCAGCATGGAGGAGCTGGGAGGACACAGCTGCCTCCCATGTCCTGCCCGGGGTCTGGGCCATGTCGGGAAGGGGAAGAAACCAGGCCTCGCCTAGGGGGCTGCAGGGTGTTCCAGGAAGGGCCAGGTTTGCACATGAAGGGGAAAGTGAAGAGGTCGGGCATTTTGCTGATGATATTTCATGGCATGCTGAAGAAGGTTTAGTGAGTATTAAGTGGGCAGGAAATTGGGAAAACAAAATGGGTGAATGTCCGGACTCAGGAAGTGGGGGTAAACTTTGAGCTTGGGTCTCCCTGTTGTGACATCAATAGTATGTATCAGTTATCTCTGGCTGCGTAACATCTATCTGAAAATCCAGCCCATAGGCTGGTTCAGGCTACTGCTGCCTGGGTCCGGGGATTCCTGGCAGCCAGTTCCAGCTGTGGAAGCGCTTGCCCGGTCTCTGCTTGCTTCACATTCACTGATGTGCTCTTGGCCCAGAGAAGTCACATGGCCAAGCCCAGACTGACTGTGGGAGGCAGGACCCACAGGACACATACAGTCACAGGGAAGGCCACCTCCCAGGTTTCAAGCAGTTATTCTAGTGCTAATGCTATCATGCTCAGTACACATCTAAAATATGTTTTAATATTTATTTGTGCTGGGTCTCAGTTGCAACACACAGGCTCTCTGAAGTGGTTTGCTGTATGCCAGACTTTTAGTCTCAGTCTGTGGGGTCTAGTTCCCTGACCCGGGATCTAACCTGGGCCCCCAGCATTGGGAGCTCAGAGTCTTAGGCACTGAATTACCAGGGAAGTCCCCCACATCTAAAATATTTTAAAGAACAATTTTCAAAAACCTGCTTGCCCACCCTTTAACTGCTCTTCTGTTTCCACTACAAATCAGTGGCCCCACACTTGGCCTGACTGCCCCCCTTCCCTCATCTCCTGCTTCACACAACACGAGACCCTCACTGACTTCTTCCTGCCAATGGCCAAGCGTGTTTGAGATGGGGTCCCGCCTCCCCCTTCCGTTCTGTCTCAGTATAATGGGGTGCCCTCCTCCTGGTCTGGCTAAGCTTCTCACCTTTGGTTGCATGCCCTCCTTCTCCCCTAGTCCCAGCCTCCCCACCGTCTTGCTTCTCCTTGCTTCTCTTTATCCATCCATCTCCTTGTTGTCTCAAGTTGTCTTTTTGGGGGAAAAAAAATGATTTCACTGTTTATTTATTTTTTAATTATATTTGGCTGTCCTGGGTCTTGGTTGCCATGCATGGGCTTTCTCTAGTTGCTGTGAGCAGAAGCTAGTCTTCGTTGTGGTCCTTGGGCTTCTCATTACAGTGGCTTCTCTTGCCATGGAGCACTGGCTCTCGACACACAGGCTTCAGTAGTTGTGGCCCTTGGCCTTGAGTTGCCTGAAGCATGTGGCATCTTCCCGGACCAGGGCTCAAACCCGTGTACCCTGCATTGGCAGGTAGATGCCTATCCACTGTACCTCCAGGGAAGTTCTCAAAAGTTGTCTTTCTGGTGGTTGTTTGCAAGTGAGCTTTTTTTTTCTTGTTTATTGGACATCTATTATATTTCTCTTGTGAATTTTCTGCCCATTCCCTTTGGCTGTTGGAGGGGTGGTATGTTTATCTCTTTTTTTTTTTTTTTTGGCTGATTTGTACATGCCTTACTGAGAAGGATATATCTCTGTTCATCGTCTTCTCAGTCTCCTGTGCTGTGTGTCCTTTTGCCCAGTAATGTTGGGCTGTCCCATCATTGGCCTGTCACCCTCATCTCTTCTCAGCCTTCATGTCTTCCCTCTGAAGCCCAGGCATCCTTGTGGCTTCTGCTACCACCTAACATCCTGACTCCAGAGCAGAAGATAAAATCTCCAGCCCTGAGTACTCAGCCAAATGTCTCCACGTAACTATCACAAGCACTTAGAACTCTAGACTTCTAGACCCTCTGCTCTTTCTGTTATCCCCTCTAAACAAGCTCTGCTGGCTTCCCTTCTCATCTGAGCGCCAGGCTCCTTAAAAGAATCATCTATACTCAGTGTCTACTCTTCCATCACCTCCACGCTCTCCAGAGGCATTGTGGGTTGGGGGACAGTGATGGGTTCAGGAACCCGAAATCACCATCCCACTCTGTGCCATGAGCTCCTCATCAAGGCAGCAAAGTGGTTAAACCAGAAAAAAACCCCACAGTTCATACACACAACGATCTATATATTTAAAAACTGACGAGTCTTTAGGGAAAAAAAAAAAAAAACTATTACAGGCATATTTAGCCACGGAGGAGAGGGTCACAGGCTTTCACGGAGACTATCCAGCATGGTTGTGAAAGGTAATGGAACAACCATACGAAACCATGAAATTTGTTCCATAAGCATCAGTTGATTTCTGCTATGTTCACCATCCTTGGCTCGACCAGAAGTATCTCTCCTCCCCTGCTCAGAAATTCCTTCCCTCCCCTGCAGGCAGCACCAGTGACATCATGACCAGTGACCACAGCCCTGTTTTTGCCACATTTGAGGCAGGAGTCACCTCCCAGTTTGTCTCCAAGAACGGTAAGTGGTGGGGCAGTTTCTGTCCCTCTCTTCTTCATGCAGACAGGAGGGCTGGGCACCTGTCTTCTGGTTGCAGCAATCAGTTGTCTGCGTTAGATAAAGGCTCATCCTTCCAGGCAAGCCCATGGTCCGCATGTCAGGTCCCTTCGTGTCCAAACCGCACCATGATTTTAGTCCAGAGCGTGTTCTTTCTCTCTTTGGCAAGCGTGCCAGCTTCTTAAAGCCTGTTTTAATACAGTCTTTAAAATTGGGAAAAATAAGTGATTCCCAAGGTGCAGCATAGGTGTCACCAAAGATGATTCTGGGTGGGACATGGATGAACACTTATTAGTAATGCATTTATTTTAACATGTTTTAAATGTGATGCTTCTATGTAAGGCAAGCAACACTGGTTTTCCATTTAGTCTTGTGATGTACTCTTATATGTAAATACATTTATTTAAGGTTTTAAAGTGAGTCTATTTAAAGGAAATGTTAAGTCAATATTAGGACAGGTGCGTGGTAGGCAGTAAAAATTGTGAAGATAGGATGCAGATGATTGCATTTGAGGAAATACTGGAGTAAATAGTACTCTATAGATCTGCAGGTAATTTTGCAAATAATCCAGCTCAGCCGTGGTTGCCGGGCCAGCCTCATCCGAGCAGAGACCTGGATGTCGTCTGCAGCGTGGCCAGCCCTGGGCCTGGGTGACCAGAAAGCCATGTTGTCACCTCCTCTGCCCACTCCCCACTTCCACAGTCAGCAGACAGTAAGGGCTGATCTAGGAGGGCTGAGTGCAAGGCCTAACACAGGTTGGAAAAGCCTGGTTTGCTCCTTGTCCTTCGTGTCAACAAGGCTGGAACCCTGTCTTCCTGAGACACTCTTGCCCGTGGGCGGTTGGTCTGACATCCATGGCCCCAGCTATATGACCTTCGCTCTCTACACAAGCCTTGACCCACCATCCTGTCTCCTTCCTAGCTCTGGCCACTGTGCGTTTCCAGAATCTTCCACCCCTTGCTGGCTCCCACCCCTCTCTCTGTTCTCTGAGTTCCTGCAGCATTGATAAAGCAGCCCATGCATCACACCCTCAGTGAGGACCGTCATCCCATCCCCAGAGTCAGCCTTGTCCTCCGTCCACTGCAACTGAGCACACAGTAGATGTTCACAAGCGCCAATGACCAGGATTAGCATCTACCTAAGGGGGGCATGGCCTTGGTGCTGGGTGTTTAAAAAAGAGAGAGGAAAGCCAAGTGAAATAAGACAGAGAAACAAGTAGAAGATATACATATGGTATCAATTATATGTGGGGTCTTTATTAAAAAATGCCAATTTCATATAGAGTACAGTGGTGGTTGCCAGGAGCTGGTGAGGTTGAGGGGGAGGAGAGGTAAGTCCAAGGTTACAGATTTCCAGTTACAAGATAAATGAAGTTCCAGGGCTCTAATATTCCACATGATGACTATAGATAATAATACAGCATTGTACACTTAAAATCTGCTGAGAGTAGGTCCTAAGTATTTTTACCAAAACACGTGAATGAACAATTAATGATGTGAGATGATGGATGTTATTATCTTGATCTTGGAAATCATTTCAGTGTTTGTGTGTATCAACTCAGCCTGTTGTTCACTTTAAATTATATTTGTCAGTTTGTCTGCAATCAAGGGGAGAAAGAAAGGAAAGCAGGAAGGAGGGGAAGGATGGGGGGGGGGGGCGTGTGTCCTTGCTCTCAGGTGGCTCAGAGTTTGTACAGAAGGACAGGACACGGTTCACAGTCAGTCTCAGGACACTCACAAAAGCATCATCTAAAGGAAGACCACACCTGCAAGCCACCTGGGTACCAGTGAGCATAGGGAACTCCTAGTAAGGAACAGGAGGAACCGTGCCTGGAACGAAGAGCTGGCCTGCCTCACTATGTGAACTTAGAAACAAGATTGATTTGGGCATTTACCAGCCCTCTTTGCCGGAACCCCTGGGGAGGCCTCGGCGTTAAGGGCGTCATCCAGGGCCCGCACCGTTTTGGTGGCAAAAAAAACTGAGCGTAGAACTCTTCCCTCTCTGCCCTGCACCAGCTTGGACTCATCAGAGAGGCTGTTACCCGCGTGGGTGGTGGGATTTCAGGGGACACCCTCCCCCCGCTTAGACCCTGGATGCGAGGAGGGAGCTCGGTGCTGCAGGGGAGGAGGGAGGCTGATTCGAAGCGCTCCGTCTCCGGACACTGTGGAACCGAACCTCTGCTCTTCCCCCACTCCAGGCCCCGGGACTACCGACAGCCAAGGGCAGATCGAGTTTCTCGGGTGCTACGCCACACTGAAGACCAAGTCCCAGACCAAATTCTACCTGGAGTTCCACTCCAGCTGCTTGGAGAGTACGTGCTTGCTCAACTAACTGCCTTCTGGGGGGACGCGGGCAGGGCCCCTTCACCAGAGCCTGGTCCTTGGTGGCACTTCCCTTCTGTCTCTGGGAAGGCCTTCCTGGTGGGCCTTGGTGGGGACAGGGTCAGAGAGTGGGGCTGTGGGTGGACAGTACAAGAGGACACCCGGGTACTGCGGGGCCCCCAATGACCTGTGATGCTGCTGCTCCAGGGTCGGGTGGTCCCTGGGGCACAGACGCACCAGGTGGGCAGCGGGGCAACTGCATCCTCTGCCTGCCCCTCCGTGCAGAGTTTGGCCCACTCGTGGATCCCCCAAGGCGGGGCTCTGGCGTGACCAGAGAGTCCTGGGCAAAGGTCCGGAGCTCATGGAGGCCAGCGCCAGGATGGAGCAGCTGCTGGTCATCACCTGTTCTTCCCCAGGGTCCCCTCCTCTTTCCTGCCTCTCAGACATCTTTCTCAGTTGGTCTGAGCATCTGAAAGCAAGCTGGAGATGGACAGCCTCCCATCAGGCAGGAGTGGTTCGCACACAACTGGATTTAGGCAACAGTCTTTCTAGGTGACATTTCTAGGCATATTGTCTAAAGCCGCTCCACAATGAAGCGGCCTGTGCGGTCTCTAGCTCTCCCCACGGAGATGGCCCGGAGTGGGAAGTGGGGAGTCAACCCCACACTAGCAGGCCCTGTGTGACGGGATGACAGATGCTTCCAGAAACTGGGAACAAGACGTGGGCCACCTGCTGCAGTGCCGTCCCATCTCCCACCTCCCTTCGCCCGCAGACTCCACCTGGGCTCCCCTCCTGGTGACAGATCCGCCTTCTCCCTGAAGTCTCCCCAGGTCCCAGTTCACCAAGCAAGGGCATAGCACTTCCAAAAATGAGGATTTTTGTGCGGGTGTTTTTAATAAACTATCGAGACATTTGCATACATTTCTATGGAAACAGCATGTTAGGAAGCTTAAATTAGCATTTCAAAAGGCTGTTATCTTGAGTGGCGTGGGATGAGCCAGAGCCGTCATGATTCCTAATCTCCTCGCCTGTGATGTGATGATTCCTCCTTAGCCTGGTTTGTGGCAAAGAGGAGCCGAGGGGGAGGGGAATCTCTGAGTCTCCTAAAAATAATTAGACCGTGTCGGCAAATGACCATCCGCTGAACCAAAACAGAATCTCCAGCGAGCTTGGCTCCTCAACAATGCTGTGGCCCCAACAGATAAAAGAGGAGGGTGGTATCCTCACTGTACTGGTGGAGCGACCCCAGGAGTCTTCTCTGTCTGGTTCTTGTACTGTTGTTCTGAAAACCTGCCTTCTTCTACCCGCAACAGGTTTTGTCAAGAGTCAGGAAGGAGAAAACGAAGAAGGAAGCGAAGGGGAGTTGGTGGTGAAGTTTGGCGAGACCCTCCCGAAGGTAACTCAAGAACAGAGATGATTTTGTGTTCATCAGCCAGAGGTGCTGTCCAGTGGCAGAGCTCCAGCCAGGCAGAAGCAGCTGCCTCTCTTTCACGGTGGTTTATGACACTCTTCCCAGCAGAGGTTAAACGTGGGCTGCATCTTTTGTTGTTGTCCAGTTGTTCAGTCCTGTCTGACTCTTTGCGACCCCATGAACTGCAACACGCCAGGCTTCCCTGTCCTTCACTATCTCCCAGAGTTTGCTCAAACCCACGTCCATTGAGTTGGTGATGCCATCCAACCATCTCATCCTCTGTCGTCCTTTCTCCTCCTGCCTTCAATCTTTCCCAGCATCAGGGTCTTTTCTAATGAGTCATCTCTTTGTATCAGGTGGCCAAAGTATTGGAGCTTCAGCTTCAGCATCAGTCCTTCCAATGAATATTCAGGACTGATCTCCTTTAGGATGGACTGGTTGGATCTCCTTGCAGTCCAAGGGGCTCCCAAGGGTCTTCTCCAACACCACAGTTCAAAAGCACCAATTCTGCGGTGCTCAGCCTCCTTTATGGCCCAAGTCTCACCCACAGCTGGTGGCCCCAATATTCCTAGATGGATTTCAGTCCCCTGATAGATCATGGAAGGGGTCTAGAGGGTGTGCCGTCTGACCACGTGATTTTACAGAGAGAGGAAAGGAGGCAGGTCCCAGAGAGGCTTGTTCGTGGTCACCCGGCTGCAGTGACAGACCCAGGACCCACAACCCAAGGCCCCAGTTCCCCTGTGGTGTGCTTCTGTTCAGCCCTGGCTCGAAGGATCACACGAAGGAGTAGAGAAAACTGTTGGCTCTGGATGCAGAGAGAACCTGACCTGTCCTCGGCCCCCAGCAAGCAGAGGGTAGAATTGCAGGCAACCTTAGTGGGAACACATTTGTCTTTATTACAGAAAACTGGGACCCAGCACGGCTTTTGTGACGTTATGTTGATGATGGACATGTCTGGTGTTCACTCTGGAGACACGTGGAATAGGGCCCTGCTTCTTTAACAGTTAGCAAGGGAGAGGGACAAAGAGGGGGTGTCCAGGGCCAGGCAGGTTTTTCACACAGGGCAGGGGTCTCAGGGTCCCCTGGAGATTCCCTGGAATGTGATGCCCCAAGTGAGTTTTAAAGGACAGCCTCAGGCTAGTGTGGGCAAGCAGGTCTCAGGGGCCTGGGCTCCCTGCACTGGCCTTAACTGTTGATTGGAACTGACCTGTGGACCACACATGAAAAGACCTATGTCCGAGTCCCAAAGTCTTCTAGTCTGGGTATACTTTAGATTGGGGTCCTCCAAGAGGCTGGGGCTTCCTGGGTGGCCCTAGTGGTAAAGAATCCACCTGCCAATGCAGGGGACGCAGGAGACCCGGGTTTGATCCCTGGGTCCGGAAGATCCCCTGGAGGAGGAAATGACAAACTACTCTAGTATTCTTGCCTGGCAAATCCCATGGACAGAGGAGCCTGGCAGGCTACAGTCCATGGGGTTGCAAACAGTCAGCACAATTGCACGCTGCATGAAAGAGAGTGGGGCAGAGCTGACAGAAGTCCCCATCTGGTGCTGTGTTCAGGACCCAAGTCCCGGTGGCCCTGGGCTCCAAGGCGATGTCCCAGCTCAGCCCCCACCCTGCCCCGCCTCACCCTCTCCCGCTGCCCCCGGGAAGCACCCGGACAGCGCGTTTCTTACTTCCATGAAGTCGGGAACGATGACAGCATCCCGGTCCCCACATCCCCACTCCTGCCTCTGGCCGGTCCTCCCTGCCCCATTGCCGCCTCCCAGGGGGCTCCATCCCTCCCTCCTGGCTGAGGGTCTTTCTGGAGCGCCCATCTGCTCCTGGCCCCGCTTCCTGCATCCAGCGGGGTCCCTGATGTCAGCTGCTCGGCCTGGCTCCCAGCCCTCTCCTCACTCTCGGTCTCTCCTGCTCCCCCAGCTTCTCAGGGGCCCCCCTCTGTCACCCCCCATCTCACCCTCTGCACCCCGCCGAGGCACCTGACGAGGCTTCCCCCCCCCACGATGAGCCGTGTCCCTTGCAGACCTGTGCTCAGATTCCACCTACCGCTCCCCCTGCTGCCCGGTGATGGGGTGGAGGGGCTCCTCTTCCTGCCCCAGCAGCACCCCGGCCCCGGGGCTGACTTTGAGCACGTCGGTAGTTCTGGGGGCAGCGCTGGAGCATCAAGAATGGCCCAGAGCTCCCACTGCCATGTCCAGTCACTTGTTCTGGAGCTTTCTGAACAGTGGAGCCCGCACTAGGGGTCTCTCGGTGTCTGTGGAGGGGAGGGAAGGGGGCAGTCTGCGAGCGTTTTATTAGGCCTTCTGTGTTGGGGTCCACACGAAGAACAGCCCTCAGCTGGGAGGGAGTCACAAGCGGTAGCCGGCCTGCAGGAGCAGGCAGCCTCGTAAAGCCCCTCCCTATGCCTGCGGCCCAGCCCTGCCCCGTGCCCCCGGCCCTGCCTGTGCCCCCGGCCACACCAGCAGGGGCTCAGGGACGGGCTGGAACTTGGGGTCTGTGCCTGCCACTTGCTGAGCCGCCCTTCAGCAGCCCACAGGATCCTACAGGCCCACCCAGGAGGCTCTCCTGCGGGTGGGCACAGCTCTCCTCCTTCCCAGACAGAGGGCAGGCCCTGCGGGGCCCGCTTCAATGCAGCCTCCATCCCAGGGCGGGGGCCAAGGGGAGGGCTGCACTCTTGTTGGGAGTGGGGTGCGTTCAGACGTCCGAGTATCAGCCTGGCCCCGTCCTCCCCGCCTTGATCGTGGGGTGTGCGGGTGTGGGAAGGGAAGGGAGGTGGTGTGGCTGAAGGCATGTTTGGGGTCAGGTTCTCTCCCCAGGGCCCTGGGTGCAGTGTGATGGGTTTGTGGGCTCAGAAAGGAATTTAACCCCACCATACTGGGCAGGGTGGACATACAGGTACCTTCCTGCTCTCTTGGACAGGAAAAGCAGAGATTCCAATTTAAAAAGAACATCTGTATCCCTCTCCCCATACGTTCCCCTCTCTCTGTGCTGGCTCCCCCGAGCCTGTCCCCCACCTGTCCATGCTAACCTATGCTGTTCTCTCTGCAGCTGAAGCCCATCATCTCTGACCCCGAGTACCTGCTGGACCAGCATATCCTGATCAGCATCAAGTCCTCCGACAGCGACGAATCCTATGGTAAGGGTCCCGGGAGAGGTGCTATGGGTACCTGCAATCGAGGCCACCCATGTCAGGGAGGAGAGCTATCTCCTTCACACAAAAACCCCCACCTGCTGCCCATCCTGGTCCTGCCAGAGGGACGGTTACCAGGAAGTCATCCTGCTGACCCATCAGGCTCCCGAGAAGGACGCACAGCCCCTCCCATCCATGGAGCCTCTCCCATGTCAGATTCCATGCCAGGTGTTTGAAATCCTACTTGACTTATCTTGACACGACCTTGTGAAGCAGACACTATCCTCTCCATCAGTCGATGAGCAAACAGGCTCAGAGAGGTAAAGTGAGTCACAGGGTGGTAACTGGCTGAGCCCTCATCTGAGCCCAGGTCTGCCTGGCACTGCTCAATGCCCAGCCCAGACTGGTTTGAGAAGGCCTGAGGCCCCAACAACTCCTCCTAGAGAGACACCATCTTCTGTTAAGATCTTCAGCCCGCCCCTGGCTCCAGCGAGGTGTTAGCTTTGCCCTTGAACTTGGTATGTATAGTGCAGCTAGAGCATGGAGTGAGGGGGCTGGTAGTCAGAGAGAGGCTGGAGGCAAGGAGCCAGATTGGCAGCTCCATACAATTCAGGTTAGGGATACATACCACATCCTGGGGATGGGAGGAAGCCACTGAAGAGTCAAGCAAGATGATAACATGGTCAGCTTTGCAAGTTAGAAACTTAAGAGTTTGTGGTGATCAACATGATGGATGTCAAACCTAAAGGAAATCAACCCTGAATATTCATTGGAAGGACTGATGCTGAGCTGAAACTCCTATACTTTGGCCACCAGATGCGAAGAGCTGACTCACTGGAAAAGACCCTGATGCTGGGGAAGATTGAGGGCAGGAGGAGAAGGGGGTGACAGATGATGAGATGGTTGGATGGCATCACTGACTCAATGGACATGAGTTTGAGAAAACTCTGGGAGATGGTGAAGGACAGGGAGGCCTAGTGAGCTGCAGTCCATGGGGTCGCAAAGAGTCGGACACGACTGAGCAACTGAACAACATCACCACATGACCACATGATGGATGAGGGAGCCAGAATGAAAGTGGTGACAGTAAAAAAAAAAGAGAGAGTTTAAAATTGAGAGGTACTGCAAAGGGACATTGTTTGACCACGGGAATCTGGGGAAGAGGGTAGAGGATGGCCCTGCACTCCTGGTTTGAGTAGCTGAGCTAATGTTTCCATTTCCTGAACTGGGGTCAGCTGTGGGGAGGAGCAGGGGAAGGAGACTCAGCCAGAGGAGTGGGAGGAAAAGGGAAGACTGGGGTCACAGACGCCATCAGAGCTGCTTGAGAGGAGCGGGTGGTCATGATAGCAAACGTGGCCGAGAGATCGGGCCAAGTAAAGACCCGCATCCTGCAGACTGAGAGCCTGCGGATCATCTCTGGACTTGGGAGAAATGTGTGCGGTGAGGGAGTGAGTGGGGAGAGGAGGCGGAGGGTGTGAGGCCCACCAGCATGGGCAGTGAGGTCCAGGGCGGGCGTCTGCTTCCAGTGGAAAGAATCTATGGTGGTTAATGCTGATCAGTGGAAGCCGGGAAGCAGAAAAAGGCTGCAGACAGAAAGGGTGCCCACGTGTGTCTGTTGCCCGCTCTGCAGGCTCTGCCCAGAGCCCTGGGATCTAGGTGCCTTCACCACCCTGGTTGCAGATGTAAGGAAAGGAAGTGACTTGTCCAAAGCCACCCAGCCACTGCTGCGTGACCTTGGACTTGAAGCCAGATAGCACAGCTACAGAATCGTGCCCTCCACTCCTTCCCACCACAGCACTGGAAAAGAGGGTCCCTGAGCCAGGGCAGGGGCGGGCAGAGCCCGAGGAGTCTGATGGAGCAAAGAAAAAGGATCCACATGGTGCCTGAGTGTCAGGAGGTTTGCTGGCAGGAAACGGGCATGTGGGTCTGAGGCTTCAGCTTCCTTTCAAACATTGAGGTCCTCGTTTGTTTCCTTCTCTTGGTGTTCATGCTGACAGTTAGCACATCATACTGACATGCGCAGACGCTCAGTCATGTCCTACTCTTTCCGACCCCATGGACTGTAGCCTGCCAGGCTCCTCTGTCCATGGGATTCTCCAGGCAAGGATACTGGAGTGGGCTGCCGTTTCCCCCTCCAGGGAATCTTCCCCACCCAGGGTTTGAAGCCATGTCTGTCTCCTGCATTGGTAGGTGGGTTCTTTACCACTAGCGCCCCCTGGAAGACCCATCATACTAATAACTAGGAAAGGTCATCATCCAGCAGTCTCATATTTATTTGCTTTCACACTCCAGTGTTCATCCATGGGCACATAGATTTCTACATGAATAATTACCACAGAGACACCAGTTATAGTCTGCTTTCCTCACCTAGTATTAGATAAGACACATTTTCCATGATCCTCCAATCCAGCCTTCATGATGATTTCATAATATTCCATGAATTTACTGTATCTTTTTTTTTTTTTTGCCATCTTTCAATCTTTTTATATCCTCATTTTTAAAAGTATTCCTTACTACCACTGTTGAGGCTGTGCCAATTATTTTTGTTAGTATTACCAATAATGCAGAAATGGAGCTCTTTGTGGACATTTTATTAAATTACAGTTGATTTACAATGTATTAGTTTCTGGTGTACAGCAAATTGATGCAGATATATATTATATATTGTTTTCCATTATGGTTTATTATAGCCTATTGAATATATCTCCCTGTGTTATACAGTAGGACTCTGCTATTTATTTTATATATAGTGGTTTTATCTGCTAATCCCAAACTCCTAGTTTATCCCCCCATGCTCCCTTTCCACTTTGGTAATCATGGGTTTGCCTTCTATGTCTGCGAGTCTGTTTTGTAAATATGCTGAACAATACTTTAGATTCCATATGTAAGTGATATCGTATGGTATTTGTCTCTGTCTGACTTACTTCACTCAGTATGAGAAGCTCTAGGTCCATTCCTGTTGCCTCAAATGGCATTATTTCTTTTTCTTACGGCTAATATTCCATTGTGTGTGTACACCACATTCATCTGTTAATGGACATTTCGGTTGCTTCTATGTCGTGGCTATTGTAAACAGTGCTACTATGAACATAGAAGTGAATATATCTTTTTAAGTTAGAGTTTTCTCCTTTTCTCCAGATATATGAGCAGGAGTCAGATTGCTGGATCATAAGGCAATTCTATTTTTAGTTGGGTTTTTTTTTTTTTTTTTGGTAATGAGATGCCATACTGTTTTCCACAGTAGCTGCACCTATTTACATTCCCACCAACAGTGGGCGAGGGTTGCCTTTTCTTCTTTGTGGACAGTTTTCAGTCTCCCTCGGCTACATTTATTCTTTTGGACCATCTCTTTAGGACAAGCTCCCATGTTTCCTGGCTAAAGCAGTGTGTACTTGTAATTGTGATTCTTGGCCCTCATCATCAAACTGATGGCTGTGAAGGCTCCATCTTGCCTTGTTGACCTTCTCATGTACAAGTGTACAGGTCTTCCCAGATCCTTACTGGCACTGAGTGTTCTTTGCTTCCTCCTTCTTTTGCTAGTTTCATGTCTGCGAGAGTCCCTTAAGTGCTGCCTTAATTTGCATTTTTGATGACTCAGAAGACTGAACAGGTTTCCATTTAGTGTAATGAAATTAACCAGCTACGTTTCTCTTTTTGTAGAAAATGTCTGTGAGGTAGTCTGCCCATGACTCTGCTGGAGATTTGACTTTTGAGGCGTTCAGATAAAATACCCTCTCTGAAGCTAGCTGCAGCGAATGGCCTCAGTCAGCCCTCTTTCCATTTTTTAAAAATTCCTCTATGCAGAAGTTTTAAACTCTTATATTCTCTTATCTGCCAGTCTTTTTTTCTCATTTCTCACAGTGCTTCAAACCTTGGGAGTTTCTCCTTCTCTCCAGCAATCAGATTAGTATTTAATTCTGGTTTTCTGCTGGATTTTCTGTAATTTAATTTCTTGCATCCACTAACCTGCGTGGAGTCCACTGAAGGTTTGAGCTGTTTTCCCCAAACTGCTGAGGCGTTGTTCTGAAAGGTTAGCCCCATAACCCCTGCCTTGGCCACTGCAGCTCTGGGAGGGGGGCTAAATCTCCAGGACAAATGCGTGGTGTTTCTCCGGTGAAATGAGGGGGTCTTGACCTGACTACTGTGCCCCCCACCTCCCCAGGCGAGGGCTGCATTGCTCTTCGGTTAGAAGCCACGGAAACTCAGCTCCCCATCTACACGCCTCTCACCCACCACGGAGAGATGACGGGTCACTTCCGGGGGGACATTAAGCTGCAGACCTCCCAGGGCAAGATGAGAGAGAAGCTCTACGGTAAGTGGACACGCCTCATGCCTCCTCAGCGCCGCTGGGCGGGGAACAGTCATGGAACATTCTGTCTGCTGAGGCCTCAAGACGAAAATCCAGCCTTGGAGAGGGCTTCAGGAACAATCTGGCCGAACCCTCTGTAGATTCAAGAATTTCTCTACAGAACCGCAAGAGTCCACAGCCCCAGATCACCCTTCCCCGACCCCAGTCAACTCACATCTCTAAGGAGGTGAAGCATGTGGGTGTCCCAGGTCCTCTGCTCTCACGTGAGCCTTCCGGGCCTTGGCACCGCCTGTGAGCACCTCCACCAGGAGGGCCAGGGTTGCACACAGACCTGCCGATTAGTCACAGTTTCTTTCCTGGCTGAGGGGCGAGGGAGATTGAAACCACGGCTGCAGTTGAGATTAGGATTTCCCACGTGTTCCTGTTCTTCCTCGTGGCCACGTGGTGCGCACCCATATACACACATACGCCCTGTATGTGTCTACAGCCTCCCTCCTGGTACCCACCCTGGGCTTCTGCACCTTCTGTATCACCTTCACATACCATATGCACCTGGAAGCCCCACTCTCATCCTGAGCACATTTCTTTGGCCCTTCCTGATCCTAATCCCAGCCACCCTCCAAGGCCTTCTCTTCTCTGGCAGAGTCCCCTAGCAACCTCTTTGAACCTGAACTCAATCTTTCTCTCCCCACCGTTTGCCACTTGCTTACTTTGGCTGGCCATCGGGAGGATGCGTTTCTTGTGGCTCAGAAAGGACACCAATGCAGACAAGCGTGGGAGCAAATGCTCATCACGGGTGTTTGCTCGCCCCATGTGAAACACCAGCATCAGAGCGTCATTCCCTACTGGTCCCCAAAGAAGACTCTGCTGATTCCCATTAGGCCAGGGGTCCCCAACCTCTGGGGCCTAATGCATGACGATCTGAGGTATTAGTATTAGAAATAAAGTGCACAGGAAGTGTGTACCTGATTCATCTCGAAGCCACCCCCTCTCCCCCGCCCCAGTCTGTAGAAAAACTATCTTCCACGAAACCAGTCCCTAGTGCCAAAAAGGCTGGGGGCTGCTGCGTTAGGCAAGTTCAGACGTCACATCTCTGAGGTGAGAACTGTCACAACTTCACTGTGAGACTATTGAAATGTGGTCAAGAGACCTAGTAACACAGAAAACACAAGAAGATGCGAATTTGTAATTTTCTCTGAACCCTGCATACATTTTTTGAAACCTGGAAATTAACACGTGTCCTTCTCAATAGTATCCATCCCATTAAAACCTCCCTGCTTGAAATAAATGATTTGAGAGGCACAGAGCTGCTCAAAATATGTTAATCAAGTCTGTCTTCCTTCTCAAACAATAGATCTTTTTTTTTTCCTTTTCCCCTTCACTTTAATTCTTCCTCAAAAGTGGTCAAATAACAGTGTTTAAAATGAGTCAGGCTTTCATTTTATACTTGATGCATGAAACGATCATCCATTAAATGCCACCTCATTTCTCTTGTCACAATAGCTCCGAGAGCCAGGTCTTGTCCTTGGTTGGTAGATAGGGAAACTAAGGCACAGAGAGGCTAAGTGATTGGCTGAAGGTCACACACCAAGCCAAGTGGCTGGTCCAAGGTGAAAGTGCAGATTCAGCCCCTGCTAAGCATCCGTAAGTTTGTAAATGTGACGGGGTCCTACCGTTTACATGAACAGCAAGACAGCAGGACTCGTGCCTGTGGACAGTCTGGCAGCCCCTGGTTGTGGAAGGCTGGGGGCATCCAGGGTGCCGCCTCCCATGAGTGTGCCTCCTGGCTCTGCCCTTGGGAGCTGGTTTCTCTTGCAGGATCTAGACCTGAGGGGGACTTGGTACCCCTGCAGCCACAACCAGAGTCAGTTGTGAAGATGGGGTCCCAGTTCCCCATTAAGCTTGTGAACAGGTTGGCTTTGGGCACTGAGTGCTCTTGCAGCGCTACCTTGTTGTATTTCTTTTATTCGGATCTGCCAAGAAATAGCTGCCGGCTTTGTCCCTTGCTGACACCACCGAGTTGAAGATGCCGTAGGAAATGACAACTCTGGGTCATACGTGCCCACTCTCCCAGCCCTGGAGCCGTGCAGGCATAACTAATCAACCACCAAACACACACGAGGTCTCAGAATCTCTGCCCTCAGGCAGCCAGTACTCACTCTCCAGCTTCAGCATGCCAGTGGAAACCTCTGAGCCATCCTGGCCCAAACCCTGGGAGCTGCACCCTCACACACTCTCACGTGCTCTTTCCTGGCCCCTTTCTTGCAGACTTTGTGAAGACGGAGCGGGATGAATCCAGTGGACCCAAGTCCCTGAAAAGCCTTACCAGCCATGACCCCATGAAGCAGTGGGAACCTGCCAACAGGTAGCTTGGGGGGCCTGGAGGGTGGCTAAGAGCCAGGGCTTCACTGCAAACTAGCCTGGCTTTACAGACCCAGGAGGGGGAGTGGGGAAGTGGAAGAGGGAGAAAGTAAGGACTCAGAGGGAAAGAAAGCGCCAGCTACAAGAGGCCTGTCCTGCTTCCAGCTCCGAGGCTTCTGACCACAAACCCCAGGCTCAGGGGAGGTTGGTGTGAATGCAACAAGGCCAAGGAGACTCTTCTGCATTGCAAAGTTCAGTTCAACCAACACTGAGTACCTCCATGTGTCAGGTTCTAGAGAAACCAAGGCACGTTAGGTGCAGTCCCTGCCTTGGGAAGGCACAGCCTACTAGAAAGACGCCCACTCCAGGAGGAAGCCGCTGCAGAGATAATCACACAGGACGGGTGTCGTATTTCCTGAAGACCAAGGACATTAGCAGTCATGGCTCCAGAGCTAAAAGCCCCAGCCTGTTCCAAGGGGGGAAGTCACCGGGGTTAGGGAGAGCCTAAGGAGCCCTGACGGACACCAAAGGACACTGCCCTCAGAGCAGTGCTGCCCCGGAGGAGCGTGAGGTATGACTGTGTGCCCCCCTTCCCCTCACAGGGTCCCTCCATGCAGTAGCTCCGGCATCACAGAAATCATCAACCCCAGCTACATGGGGGTGGGGGCCTTCGGGCACTTGAAGCAGACCCTGTCCCCCGACCAGCAGCCCACTGCCTGGAGCTATGACCAGCCGCTCAAGGACCCCGCCCTGGGACCTGGAAGGGGAGACAGTCCCCCAACGCCACCCTCCCAACCACCCGTATCACCCAAGAAGTTTACCTCGTCAACGGCAACCCGGGGCCCCTGCCTCAGGACGCAGGAGTCAAGGTGAGTGTCCTCTTCACCGTGACCTCACCCTTCCCTGGCTTTTCACCGCCAGGAAGCCTGGGCCTCGAATAGAAGCCACCTGGGGGTGGGGACGTGTGTCCCACTTTGGTCACTGACTCACCCTCAGGGCCTAGAACACAGCAGGTTCTTGAGAAATGCATGTGGAACCTCCAATTCCTACCCTACTGGTGTAAATTGCAAAGGTTCATTTTTTAATATTCATTTATTTGGCTGAGCCAGGTCTTAGTTGCGGCACACTGGATCTTTGGTTGTGGCACGCAGACTCTTAGTGGAATCTAGTTCCCTGACCTGGGATCGAACCTCAGCTCTCTATACTGAGAGTGTGGAGTCTTGGCCACTGGACAACTGGGGAAGTCCCTTGAAAGGTTTTTTAAAAAACATGGAGAAAAGAAAAAAACATTAAACATACTGCCAAGGAAAAACACGGCCCTGTAAAAACAACCTTCATTGAAAAATACGTTTCTATAAGCAGTAAACGCCTGTCAACCTCCCACTCCCGGGAGGGCCCTGCAGAGCAGAGACAGGAATTTCCATGTAGGAGTCCCTCCCCAGCTCCCGGTTCCCCGGTCTCCTCTCAACCACGGTGGTTCCTGCTCTTAGGTGCAACTTTCCCTTCTGTCCTGTTGAGACCAATTCGAACAAGCAGCAGCTGGGACTGGGAATTCCCAAGGGGAGGCGAGCAGTCAGCCCACAGAGGGAGGGGGTTTGGCCGTGAAACTTCAGGAAAAAAACCCAGTGGTGAGAGAAGGCTGGCCTGCATCTAGAATTGGTCCAGGCAGCACGTGCTGGGAGCCTGGGAGCCTGGGAGAAGCCTGCACAGCCCCTGCCCAAACCCATGAGTGCGCCTCCTGCAAACGCAGGCTCCAGAGCCCTCCAGGCGTCCCGTAACCACAGGGTGTCGGAAATTAAAAGTGCACACCTTAATTAACAATGACTGACGATGTGCAAAGTATCGTCAGCATAGGCTTCTTTTGGGGGTGGCTGGTACCGTTTATGATGACTTCAGGGGGACCACTCTGGGTCTGTCTTCCCCTCTCTTGAGGTCCCACATCCCTCTTGGCATTTTCTGTCGTGAATTCAGAGTCAGGGAAGATCGTACTATAGAACATGTTTCCCCTCATCTCCTGCCACTCCCAACACTCTCACTGGGCCTGGCTCGAGTTTCCTCTGGCTTGAAGAGCAGTTTATAATTCTCTCAAGTTTTGTTCTCTTTAAAAAATACAACTGGACAGATGAATGGAACGATGGAAGGGACAGAAGGAAGGAGGATGGGACCAGACAGCGCAGGCTCAGTCTTGTCTGTCTCTGTACCTCTAGTTTTCAGACTTTGTTGATAACATCATGGACTCTGGTCTTTCTGTAAGAAACCCAGAAGGAGAAGCAGCCTAGCTTCCTCTCCTGGAAAAATGAGAACAAAAGCCACCGTACGTCGGGTCCTGAGGTGCCTCTTTGGCAAAGATCCTCTCTTTGGCAACCCCGGGAAACAGTTAGAAACAACCACAGCGAACAGTGGGATTGTTCAAGTGAAAGGTTGTTAAGTTCCCAAAGTAAATGTCTCTTTGTGCTAACCTAAACACAGCACAAGTTCAAGCACACAGCTGGGAAGACGGTTGCCAGCAGTTCCCTCCTGTTTTACAGGTGACAGCTTCAGAAAGGGGACATCTTTAGATACAGGGTGGGGTGGGTGCTCAGCTTGCTTCTCAGCAAGGAGGTGATTGGAGGCAAGAAGCTGGGGGCTTGCATGAATGCCTGTAGTCCTCTGCTGCTCATGAGCCCCCACTCAGCCTGAGAGAAGGTTATGGGAAAGGGAGTGTCCCAGTTCTCCTGACACTGCACAACCACCAAGCAGAGTGACCAGCTATCCCAGTTTGCCCAACACTGTCCCCTTCTTCTGCACCAAGAATCCCACATCCCAGGAAACCCTTAAATCCTGGGCAAACCAGGACAACTGGTCACCCTTGGCCAAAGTCATGTGGTTAGAAAGGGGGCTCTCCTTGAGACTCACAGACTTAGAAAATGAACTTATGGTTGCCAGAGGGAAGGGACAGTTAGAGTTTGGGATGGACACAAACACACTGCTATATTCAAAACGGATAACCAACAAGGACCTACTGTATAGCACAGGGAACTCTGGTCAATGTTATGTGGCAGCCTGGTTGGGAAAGGGGTTTCGGGGAGAATGGATATGTGTATATGTATAGCTAAGTCCCTTTGCTGTCCACCTGAAACTATGACAGCATTGTTAATCGGCTATATCCCAATACAAAATAAAGTTTATACAGAAAAAAAAGAAAAAAAGAGAGAAAGAGGGCTCTTCTCAGACCCCACTTGGTGCTTTGCTCCTTTAGAAAAGAATAGACTCTGGATCTGAGGAGTGAAGTCATTTGGCCCCAGGAATCCACTCTGTATCCTGGGGATGGGCTAGCTGATTCCACAGCCATGGCTACTATGGGAGCTGGTTCCTTGTGACTTCCCATCAAGGAAATAAGACTTTTTAAAAGCGGTCTTCCCCAGTCTCCCCGCCCCCACCAAACCTCCTGCTCTCTGACAGTGACAGAAGCCCCCTCCTTGAGGGAAGTTTGCTTGCCTGCCCATCTTTGAAATCAGCAAAATGCTCGCATCCAGGGTCATCTTCCTGGCCCTGCCCCTAATTCTCTGCAAGCAGGATCCTTCCTATCTCATCACTGAGAGCGAGCTTCAGGCAGCAGGCCACGCACCTTTCTTTTCTCCTTCTGGCCTCTTCATCTGAAACTTCGTTTCACCCAATGCTGCTTTCACCCTTTTGCCCCTTCCTCTCCAGACTAACTCAGAGCAGAGGTCTTTGGGGATCCAGAGCGGGTGCCAAGGATGGCCTGGAGGGGAGGGGTAGCCTTCTGCTTAGGCAACAGCTTCCAGGTCTTTCCAAAGAGTAATGAGCGACAGCCCAATTCTCCGTGTCCCGAAACCCCACATCTTCTTGTGTCATTGGCCCCAGTGAGAGGATGACATCTCAGCTCTGTCCCCTGCCCACGCCTCCTCCCCAAAGAGTCCATTCGCCGTGGCTGTTCAACTTCTGAGCAGCAGTGCAACACATGCTCCATCAATACGAGGCATCACGGCCTGAACGGTTCAGTGCGTTTTCCCAGGGACCCACATTTTCTTCTCTGACCGAGGGTAAAAAGGAAACCATGCTCACCAGGAGCTCTCCAGGGAGAGGGCTTTATGCAGAAGAAAGAACACTGGGTTTTTGGGACTATGGGTTCCTTGAGCACTGATTTCGTCTGGTTCACGTCCACCGCCTATGCCGGGGGCAGCATCTCACACTTGTGGGGCTTCCACGCTTCTGTTAAACGGAGCTTCTGAACTTGGGACCCTCCAGTAGCACAGGCTTCTGTTCCTCTGTGGCTCAGAGCAGAATTCGCTAGTCCCCCTTGCTTAGTGATGCTCTGGTCTGGACAGTTTCTATGATGGAAAATGTCCAAGGAAAGAGTTGAGGTTATCTGTGAGACCATCAACGTAAGAGTAAGAGTAATGCTTCCTTCTCTGTCTCTTTAGTCATAGCGGAATTCACATAACATAAAATGAAGCCTAACATTTTTCCAATGAACAACTAGGTGGCACTGAGTGCCTTCACTGTGTTAAGGCAACCACCACCTCGATCTAGTTCGAAAGGTCTTTATTACCCCCAAAGGAAACCCCGCAGGCATTCAGCAGTCACTCCCCATCTGTGTTTTTTCCCTGTGCGTCTTCTTTCTCACGCTCCAGGCCCGGCGATGTGGCAAAGAGTGTAGGGGAACCTTTGCCTCCGGAGGAGCCGCAGCTGACCAAGCCCGAGATGTTTGAGAACCCCCTGTATGGGTCTGTGAGCGCATTCCCGAAGCCAGCTCCCAGGAAAGAGCAGGAGTCCCCAAAGATGCTGAGGAAGGAGCCCCCGCCCTGCCCGGACCCAGGAATTGTGTCACCCAGCATCCTGCTCTCCAAAGCCCAGGAAGCCGAGGGCGGCAAGGGGACCGGCAAACCGGCGCCCCCGCCCGCCCCCTTCCTCAGCCCCACGCCCCGGGTCCGCTCCTTCACCTGCTCCACCTCCGAGGGCCGCCCGCCGGGCGGGGACAAGAGCCAAGGGAAGCCCAAGGCCCCAGGCGGCTCGCAGGTCCCGGTGCCCGTGCCGGTCAAGAGGCCCATCAAGCCTTCCAGGTCGGAACTCAGCCAGCCGCCCCTGCCCGCCCAGGGACAGCGGCCGCCCCTCCCGGTCAAGAGCCCGGCCGTCCTGCACCTGCAGCACTCCAAGGGCCGCGACTACCGCGACAACGCCGAGCTGCCCCACCATGCCAAGCACCGGCCGGAGGACGCGCCGCTCAGTCGGACCGCCATGCAGGTGCGCTCCGGTCGCGTGGGCAGGCGGGTGCGCATGCGCGGGAATATGCTCGGTGCACCTGCGCGGGCGGTGCCTGCGTGGTCGGAGGGTGCGTGTGTGTGCATGCATCTGCTGCAACCCACCAGGCTAGGAACGTGCTGTGGTGCGCGTGGGCTCTCATCCACGGCCAGGTATGCGATAGGCCAACCCGACCCAGGAGTGGGTTCCAAGAAACCCTGCCCTGGGAACTGCAAAGGAGAAAGGAGGTGAAGACAGGATTCGAACCCAGCCTGGACCCCAAAATCCCTGCTCCTACAGTTGAAGGGTTAAAGGAGGGGCTGTGGGTAAACTGAGTCCTCTATGTCAGGCCTATAAGAATCAGTTCACTCGCTCAGTCCTGTCTGACTCTTTGCGACCCCATGAACTGCAGCACGCCAGGCTTCCCTGTGCATCACCAACTCCTGGAGCTTGCTCAAATTCATGTTCATCGAGTTGGTGATGCCATCCTACCATCTCATCCTCTGTCATCCCCTCCTCCTCCTGCCTTCACTCTTTCCCAGCATCAGGGTCTTTTCCAATGAGTTAGTTCTTTGCATCAGGTGGCCAAAGTATTGGAGTTTCAGCTTCAGCAGTCCTGAATGTTCAGGACTGATTTCCTTTAGGATGGACTGGTTGGATCTCCTTGCAGTCCAAAGGACTCTCAAGAGTCTTTTCCAATAGCACAGAAGAATAAGGCTTCATAAATATAAAAGAGCCCAGATCATTTCTATTTCATCATCATCATTAGTGTTAGTTCTTTAAAATTGCCCAGTGTTTTAGAGACTTCATACTCAATGTCCCCTTCCTTCTTACAAAACAGATTTCTTTTTGAGCAAAACAAATAATGGTTAAGAGCAGATTCTGGAGCCAGACTGTCCTGGGTTTGAATCCCAGCTCTCTACCCCACCCCAGTCTCTGACTCTGGGCCTTGGGCCTCAGTTTGCTCATCAGCCAGTGGATGAACAATCAGTGGAACCTGCCTCATAGGTTTATAGGGAGGGCTAAATTTTGTTATATATCACTACTATATATTACAATTTACATGTAAAGTATGTATTATCTATTACATATTATTTCATATATATTAACATATTACTGTGTATGCACATAACACATATACACATGTATTAGAATATGTGTAAGTTCTGAGAACAGTGTGCTGACTCTCTTCAACACTATGTCAGGGGAAGCCTGCTCTAGCTTGGGGCGTGCAAAGATATGGGGACCTTGAGTTAGCTGTGGCCTGGCAATGATGCAGTGCTGAGTCTTCTGTTCTTGTCCTGCAGTGAAGCCCTTGGTGAGCTGCCAGTGAGACAGGAGCCCAGAAGAGCAATGCGAAGCCACTAGGACCCTCTCCCAAGACCCCTGTTCACTCCTCCTACCCAGCTTCCTGCACAGGGCTTCGTGTTTTTCCGGAGAGGGCCTAGCTTCTGTGTGGTCAGCACGGTGCACTGGCTGTGAAACCTGACCATCAGTACTGAAGTTGGAAGAAGCAGCACACCGGATGGGCACCCAACAGCCCGCACACCTGGGCCCCCAGCTTGATCTTGGTACTTGAGACCCAAGAGCCCTGTTGAGGCTCGCATTTTGAAGAAAGGAACTAGAGTGCTGATTCCTGGGTGGAGATACAAGTGATAATAATAATATTAGTAATAATAATGGCTACATGTGCGGAGCACTCAGCACCTGCCAGGTACCGTGCTAAGTGCTTTATGAACATTACAAGTTGAGTCTTCAGTCAACTAAAATCACATTCCCAGACCGCCCCACCCCCTTCCAGTTCAAAACAGTATGTCCTGAGTGGTTTGGACAAAGCATTAAAAATTAAGGCCAGTGCCCTCCTGGAATGAGGCAGGGCTTGACCTTTAGGGAGCTCTGAGTATATGGTTAACTTAGGGTACAGTGAACCTGGCCTTGTCTAGCTTCAGTGATGCAAAGTGCTATAGCTAAAGCCGCTGGGATCCAGCTGAGCCCGTGTGAACAAGATCTCTCTGGGTCACCTGAGTTCTTCAGTCAGAAGTAGAAGGAAAATAAATTCCTGCTCTCCAGTAAAGAGATCCGGCTTCAGCCCACACTGGCGATGCCAGGCTTGTGCCAAGTGCCCTGTGCCCTGCTCCAGGTGGGCAGGCACCGCGAGGCCATGGAATGAGCCGCGCCACGAGCCATATCTTAGCGAGCTGACGGCAAAGTCTTTGCTCTTCCTTACTTGCTACAGAAAATCAGCTTTCCCACTCGGCTGCTGCGGAGGGTGGGCTTCTTGATTCCTGGCCCTCAAAGCAGTCTTTTCTTTCTGAACTCTGTGGCTTTTGGCCCTGCTTCCTTGGTTACTAGGAGAATTGACTGGTGACATTTTTGTGTGTCTGTTGCTTTTTGACCTAACGAAATTAATGTAGGAAACCAAATCCAGAAGTGTGTGTGAGTTCAAGAGGATGGGTACGCATCTCACATCCCCACGTCTGTCAGTCCGTGTGACCAATAAATTGTGATTTTCTCAGCTCCCATCTGTGTGGCATTTTTTCCTGACATTCAGCTACAGACGTGTTTCTAGGCTGTTGGGGCTGCTGAGCAGTCCCCCGGGGAGGGGTGGTTATGGAGGTTTGCAGTGGAGATGGGCCAGAATTGTCCCGACAGAAGGGACTCTGTAGAATGGATTTGAAGTTGGCCAAGGACCAGGAGGCTTCCCCTGGAGGCTAAGTGGTAAAAAAAAAATCTGCCTGCCAATGCAGGAGATGCAGGTTTGATCCCTGGGTTGGGAAGATCTCCTGGAGGAGAGCACAGCAACCCACTCGAGTATTCTTGCCTAGAGAATTCCATGGACAGAGGAGCCTGGCCAGCTACAGTCCATAGGGTCGCTAAGAGTCGGACATGACTGAGTGACTGAACAACAAAAAGGACCAGGATTCGCTGGAGATGGCATATGTCTTTGCGGGACTCCAGGGATGCCCTGCAGCCACCAGTTCCTCCTGGCTTTTGTAAGTGTTCAAAAGCTCAGCTTTTGCTGAGCTCCAGAGACAGTAAACACATGTAAACAATCTGCCAGGTTGAGGGCTCCCACCTGTAGGAGCAGCTTGCACTGTTCATGGGTCAGGGAGCAGCGCCCAGCTCAGAGGGCCAGCGTGGATGTTGCCTGGACCCACCCCTGCCTGGAATGGACATTCAGGCCCGCCTCACCATTTCTGAGGGCTCCCAGAAATGACTCCAGGAGCAGCTGTGGTCTGAGTTCTGGCACCCTGAGCAGGTTCAGTGTTCCCCCCACCACTGCCCCAAGCGCCAACACCAGCTGCCTCAGCACCAAACAGGACTTTGACTGTAAGCTGACGGACAGTGGGGCCCTCCCTGATGCCTGAGACTGCACACTGTGAAATTAAAGGCTTTTCGCTCTCGTCCTTTCAGCTGCTCAGCCCTGCATCCATCCAACCCTCAAGGTCCCTGACCACCTTTCTCCCCAGGCTTGGGTCCACCACCATCTCTTAGGGCCAGATTTCTCCCCCATGTCTGCTTGCTTCCCACCCTGGGCCTCCCAGACACCAGAGTCCCTGTTCAATAAACAGCAGGATGAGAAGGGAACCCAGAGGTTCCCACCTCTTTATCACCTAAAGTGATTTACCTCTGTGTGGTTTTAACTGTTTTTCACCAAGCTCCCTAACCAAGGAGGTGGATTAAACAAGCTTTCCTCATAAAGGCAGAGAAGGCAATGGCACCCCACTCCAGTACTCTTGCCTGGAGAATCCCATGGACAGAGGAGCCTGGTAGGCTACAGTCCATGGGGTCGCTAAGAGTCAGACACGACTGAGCGACTTCACTTTCACTTTTCTCTTTCATGCACTGGAAAAGGAAATGGCAACCCACTCCAGTGTTCTTGCCTGGAGAACCCCAGGGACGGGAGAGCCTGGTGGGCTGGCTGCCGTCTATGGGGTCGCACAGAGTCGGACAGGACTGAAGCGACTTAGCAGCAGCAGCCGCACAATGGCGTCCCCTGCCCCTAAGGTGAATTCTGTGTTCCCTGAGGTTACCGAAGCTGCTGCACTCACTTTTTTTAAATTTTAAGAAGCAATTTTTTGCTTCATTGCGTGATAGGAAAGCTGGTTGGAAGCCGCGGATCTGATGGCCACAGGAGGTGCTGAGATCCTGCAGGCCTCTCTCAGCGGCGTGCGCCCGGCATCTCCACCTGTGATATGGCGGCCCTGGCTCCTAGTGTCGGGGTCTGCTGTGCCGCTCCTCCTCCCTAGGCTGCCGGTCTTTTTCCATGCCATTTCCACCCCCCCCTCCCCACCCCATAGGAGGGAAATGAGTGAGTCATTCAGAAAAGCTCTCCCCCACAGCTAGCTTCTCTATCCCAGCCTACAGGGTCTCTCATCGCATGTCCTTAAAATAGCTTCTCTCTCTGGCGGACTAATTTCCATGGAGATCCAGTGATCTGAAGGCCTAGAAGCATTCTGCAAGGCAGCAAGCCCAGCTTGAAGCCTTCACTCCAGCAGAAGAAGAGCCTTTGTGAGGCAAATGTGTGGTCTCACCCCTCCACCCCAGACACCACCCCTCCCCAGCCCCCACCTTTCAGCTCCCGTTCTGGGAAACCCACACTGCGTGGGAACAGCCCCGGCAGGTAGAGTCCAGGCACAGTCTCCTTTCCCCTCAGTTCCCAGTGTTCCACCATCACTGGGCTGGGCTGGGAGTGATTCTACACCAGGTGTGAAGGCTCGCGGTCTTCCCTCAACCACACGTTAAAGGCATGTGCTGGGCCTTACGGTCAGCGCGCTGATCAAGGGGGACCACCTCAAGGAGGGCTGGTATGTACTGTGGGCTGCGGAATCGGGAGGAATGAGGCTTAAATACCTTTTGTTTCCTAAATATGTGATCTTGTACCAAAGAGCGTTTCTGAGCCTCAGTCTCCTCATCTGTAGAATAGGCAGAAGGGAGCCTTGGGCGTGGTGTGGTTGTGCAGATTCAGTGATCACGCATCTGCACCTGGCACGTCATAGGTGTCCGGTGAGCGCATTAGTCCCACTTTCTAGGAGACAAGATGGTGTGGGAGGCCACTTGAGGGTACTCCTTGAGAAGCAGGAGGAAAAGGTTCAGGCAGCAATGAGGGAGGCCGCTGAGCTGGGGACTGCAGGGGGTTCCCCAACGGAGGTGGGTAGAGGCCTCCCCCGTGTGGGCAAGGATGTCACTAACAAAGAAGGTAGGGACCAAAGGGGCAGGGTGAGTCTGGGCAAGCCTAGAAGATAAGCAGCCTTGAGGCCAGATGGGCTAGCTGAGGCCCGGGGACTGGATGAGGCAGATGGGCAAGCTGAGGCCAAGGGGACCAGCTGGGTCACTTTACCTACACAGACAGAGCAGCTCTGAGGACCTGAGCCAAGGGGAGCAGACTTGGGGACTCGTAGGGAGCCCCTGAGCTGGCGCCCGGCCGGACACCACAGCAGTGTCGGTCGGTGCTCCTGGCCATTCGGGACCGGCTGGCCATCATCTCGGTCATCCCACAGCAGCTCCATGACCCGCACGGTCCTGGGCCGCTCTGTCTCCTGTGAGACTTGGCTCTGACGTGTCTACTCCTCCCTCCATCGGCTTCTTCCTGCTTCCCTCACCACCGAGGAAATGACTCACAGCCACAGCTTCACCCTGCAGGGGCTCGAGCAGGTGGCTGCTCACGTGGGTAGGAAAGTCAAGGGTGAGGAGGCGCACGCCCTGAGAGGTCAGAGGAGTTCCCTCTGAGGGGCTCCCCCGAGCCTGCTCCACCTGAATCTCAGCACCCCAGCGGGGACCTCAGCATCTCACATGCCTCACCTCCGCCTGGTGTGCAGAGCAGGGGGGGGCCAGGAGGAGTGACCAGGGGACACGCTGGCGGGGCCCCTGAGAAGGAGCGGGCAGGGCCGAGGCCAAGGCCATCCTCTGCACTGCGTGGAATCAGGCTTTAGTGCACGGGATGCAAGTTGAATTTTCATACTTCATGTTGCGCACATCCCCAGAAGTGGTTCGTCTCGCTTCAGTTATTTTAAAAGAGCATTCCGTGTACGTAGTGGCTGAGAGCAAACTCTGGAGTTGGACTGCCTAAATGTGCTGAAGCGTGCCAGGCTCCGTGCAGGCCCGGAGGACCCGAGAGGAATAAGACGATAGCCCCGGCTTCCAGAAGAGGCAGATGTACAAGCCAGAAGTTACATTGCCATGTGCGTGGACAAAAGGCCATGCGACGATTTCCTCCAGGGGTTGCTGGGAGAATGATTTAGGCTTAAGTATTTAGAATGATTGTCCCTGTGGTGTGATCTTAGATCTTGATCTTGGAGTCTGGGGCACC